ATTTAATCACTGTCAAGTCAAAACCTCATAATGTAACATACACTGTGTGAATATTTCATGTTGGATGTACAAACAGAAAAACTGGCCTGGAATCAACTCTAGTTATCTTTCATTAAAAGTCAAAAAGGTTTTTTTTCTCCTGGAAGGTTGTGATGTGATGATAAATACAGCAAACTTCTCAAAATAAACTTATTTATCTTACATCAGAGTTCTACTTACATATGGAAACAGGCCTTAGCTGGACCCACCAAAGAGTCTTTCATGATGGACCCACCAAAGAGTCTTAAGTGACACACAAACATTTAGGCAGAAACCAACTTTACTCCCTCCAATTACTCTGCCATTGTCATGCACATTTTCCTTTTGTGACTCAGATGTTTCATTAACCCTCCAACAGGCTCCAATTCTGATGTACACAGTACATCCCCATCCACACACATACAGCAAAAGAATGTAAAGAAGTCTACTTGAGTATTTTCCCCTGTATTCTATTTATTAGAATTAAATCATAGTTCTTCACTATTACTTGAGTTCATTACTAATGAAGTACTCAACTTATTCTATATATTCACAACAGTTATTACTGCATTGGCTTTAGGAAACAACAACAAAGAAACTCCCACTGACTTCCTCTACATTATATAATGGAGCGTGCTATAGCCAGTACATGCGTCCGCCTAGAAATAAATAATAGAGAGGAAACATTACATGAAAGAAATGCCTTATTTGGACTCTAATTCTCATTCCTCAGCCCAACTGATTGGGTCATTGTCAGGGCAATAAGATCAGGTTAAAAAAGCATTCATGACCTAAATATACTGTATTTCAGAGTAATATAAAACAATATCATGATTACACCAGCCTATATTTATAGTATGCATATTTTTACAGTATGTGAGTTTCAGGATATGTATATGTGTAGAAAAGACCTCATAAACAAGCAAATCATGATATTTTTTAAGTAAATCAAAGGTTACAGCTGGGTAATAACCACTGAAAGAGAATAGGCTGCGTTTGCCCCCTCCATATAAAAAGATGTACTAATAATATATAACTATAACTGTTGTTTTTCATTCAGGTGGGTTAGCTCTTTTTAAAATAACGTAATAGCACAAAAAGAGATTTAAGTAGTGAAACCTGCACTGACAGCTTCACAAATCGATTCCTAGAAGTAGGTCAACAGGGCTGAAACTGAAGAGGATGCTAAGCAGACTTCACCAAACAAGGAGGAGAGCTCTACAAAATCACTAAAACCACACTATTGACCGGGTTATGATCAGGTTCGGCGGTGCAACGCGGTTTAATCTGAACTACAGCCGGTCTGTTTACTGAAGAAACAACAGTCAGCTCTTACCTTACTTGAGAAGAAGTGGCATTTGTGTTTCAACCGCAGAGGTATGGATGCTGGAGACTAAAGGGCTCAAAGGACACGCAGTTTTTCCAAAAAGACGCTCGAACCTCCCCAGAGGCAAACAAAGTGCTCATCCAAAGAGTGATAGAGGAGCTCCAGACCATCTAGAGCTGCGTGTAGCCGTCTGCTTTTCTCACTAGTCTACAGAAGGAGAGCGAAGCGGTGACAGGCAGCACTGAAGGACAGGGAGGGGGGTCTGGAGCACTGTGGACTAAATGGACCCGTACAGCCCCTTTTATCCTGCTTTGTCTAACAACTGTCGCGCTACAAGTTTACAGCTAGACTTCAGAATTACAGTATTTACGACACAAAGAACGAAGCCTACTTAAGTATTTTCCCCCTGTAGTTTATTTATTAGAATTCAATCATGGAACTTCACTATTACTTGAGTTTATTACTAATGAAGTATTCAGCCTGGGCTTTCTTATTTGTTAACAACAGTTATAGTAAAATTCATTAAACAGCTTAAAGTAAGGAAAGGAAAAGCTTACTTCTGTCATTTTTACTGATATTTTAATGCTTATTGTTACAGTAGCATTACTCTTATTTTAAGTGCTTAAAGAGTAAAGAGTTTTTTGTAAAAAGTTAAAACCTAAAGAGTCAATTTTACAGTACTTTGGAGCACATGTGGTCCCACTCTCTGGAGAGTATATTCTAGTATATAACCTTTCAGTGTTAATATGACATTGAATGGTGTTAAAAACAACACTTGCAGTTTACAATATCAGACACATTGATGTTGTTCACAATCGACACTTTTAGCATTTAACACTGATTGTCAATCCAAGTCTATTGGATTGAATAACATTTAAAGGGTCCATACCCTATGTGTACGTTTATATTATAACATTTGCGTGGTTTAAAATGAAACAAACTGTCAAAAAAGACTGATTAATATATGTAAATGATATCTATTCTGATTGTGTATCCTGAACTGCGTATCATTCAAAAAATAGTCTGGACTGAATCACCCCTTATAACTTCACTGTGAATGGGTTAAATAGGCTGATATAGGGTGATATATGTAAGCATGTTGGTTTTTGTGACATCACAGAAACTATGAATTCAAAACAGCTGTTTTTGCAGCTTAGTTTCCATAAACGGACTGTATGGCCTGAGAGGTCAACAGTACATTTTGAAGCTTTAACAGTGTTTACATGATACATCAAACTCTTTTATTTCAAGACAGTGAGGAAAATTTAATTTTCAATGATATTGCCCCATTAATACTGCAGTTTTACACTGATGACCAGGTTTGGACAAAGCAGTTTTTAAAAATAATTGAACAAAGTTTTACACTAAAAGTTCAGATATATCCACGTTCATATGTGTAATATGTTTAGGTTATACTACATCTCTGTCTTGTATTTGCTACAGTCAGATGTAATCAGTTCTGCTTGCCTGTTTCTTGTTATGGAGTTAGAAATAAGTCATTCATGATTAGTCGAACAGAGTCTTGATGTCTGTAATGTAAAAAGCACCAAAACATGAGGAGCTAAAAGTAGCCACTGACAGAATGATTGCTTGAGATAGAGTGGGCACAATGCTGATAAGTGCAGTTTCGGGATATGTGCTTTTCCTACTCATTATCTGTTTATTAGAGATAAACATGTCAAACACAGGACGCTATTACTGCTTATGCAGAACATCCTTACACAGAGAAAAGGAAGAGACAACGGAAATGATGCTTTCTCTTTTAAGAAAAGATAAACCCCTGGTTTGTACTCTGGCAAGCCTCTCGTTGTTTTTTTTGTCATTGTTGAGGAAGTTGGAAAAGTTGTTTGAAACAGTTTTGTGTATGTCTTAGTCATAACATTGGAAACCATAATTAGATAAAATGATGTAAGACATTATTTTAAGAGTAATATCTTATGGGAGGTGAAATAATGAATACCAGTTCACCTACTGAAGATGAAAATTCATAGACCCTGAATTCTACGTAACAAGCAGTCAGGAACAAGACTATACATTGTTTATGCATGTTTGTGTAGTTTACAACGGCATGCTTGATCACAGATGGTATTTGGGTTTTAATTGCATCTCAAAGCTATCCTGGAGAGCTGGAGGGAATGCATGATAATGGTGCAAACGAAAGCAGAAACCTATGACCACAGCTTCAACTGACCCAATCGCCAAGTATTGCTCCATGAGCCACTGACCAGAATGTGAAATAGGTTTAGCCAATCTTTCTTGCATACCTGAAAGTTATCTCATTGAAACTGGTACGAGTAAAACATCTGGTGCTTTTTTCCTCACAAAGTACACTATATACCCAAAAGGTTGCTCATCCAATGTTTCTTCCAAAATCAATAATTGTTTGCTGCAGCAACAGCCACGGCTCTTCTGGAAAGACTTTACACTAGATGTTGGAAAATTGCTTTGAGAATTTGATTGTATTCAGCCACAAGAGCATTAGTGAGGTCAGGTTGGATGTTGGATGATTAGATCCCAAACGCCTCTCTAACTCATCACAATGGTATTGGATGCAGCTCCATCACTCCACAGAGCACAGTTCCACTGCTCTGCTGCCCATTGTCAGGGGGCTTTATACCCCTTTAGCCAATGCCTGCTGTTGGGCATGGTGCATGTCATTCTGCTGACCATACTTTTCTGTGTGTGCACAGTTGAATGCCTGTGTCAGCAATGTGTTCACCTTAAAGTAGCTGGATTTACTAATTAGAAGGGCCAGCGACATAGTATACCTCAAACTATTGTTCCAGGTCTGTATTGCTATAGAGTGACCAATTTCTAAGTGCACAGCGAGGGCGCCCTCTAGAGGGTAAGATCAAAAGTTTATATCAGCGGAGTTCAGCTCTGGTGCTTGGAGGCCAGAGCCCAGCAGTTTGGTGATGTCCTTGCTTTAACACACCTGATTTAACTCAGCAAGTAATTGTTAAATATGTGCGTTTGACCAGGGAAATCCCCAAACTGTGCTGGACATTGGCCCTCAGTACTGGAACAGAGCAGCCCTGGTAGACGGTTCTTTGTAACTCGTCACACCCAGTCCTGGAGAGCCATATCTGGGTGTGGGGAATAACAATGAACTATATACCAGGAGTATTCTATTGTTGGAGAGCCATATCTCTGCATGCCTTAGTCCATCTCTGACTCAACACATACTGGGTGTGTTAGAGTAAACTTTACAACAGTGTTTCTCAGCTCCAGCTCTGTAGACCAGTGGTTCTCAAACCGCTAATCCACTGGACAGTTTGTATTTCTGTTTTGATACACATAATTCAGCTCCTGAAGAACTTGATCATTAGCTAATACTGTTCGCGTGAAATTGGGCAGCTCTGCTTTAAACTGTGAAATGTTCCCTCCACGCCTAACAGCCAGGGACCCGATCAGTCTTTTAGATACTGGCATTGGCAGGCAAATTCAAAATACAAGACATTTATAAGCATGTATAAATGTTACATTTGATTTTGAAGCCAACCAGCACCCTCTGACACTGGTGCAGCTTGAAACTGCTGAGTGATACATGTAGCTCCCCAAAAAGGGCTGCAGGGGGCAGCAGTGGGTCACAGCCTCGCCGTGCCGTTTCTGATTGGCTCCTACGTTTTCAAGTGACGTCAATGAAAAGCCCGTATGTACACTTCTGGCATAATGTCTCCACGTGTAGTGCGTGGTGCGTGTCCGTAGAGAATAGACATTATTTTTTTTCATTTATAGAATAGTGTTTTCATTTATGACCGACAGACGAACCTGAGGCAAGTGTCCGTGTTTTATTCGTACAAAGTGTGTTACCACAAACTGAGTGAAATGAGCAGAACTCCATAAGTGCCGGTAGTTAGCTTAGCTAGCTACCACCGCTAACGACAGTAGTAGTAATTGACTTGGTCGAAACTAAAGTTTCAGCCTTTTCTTTTTCTTTTTTTAGTAATTCTTAACATGGCAGTGGCAACGCAGGAGAAGGGCAGAGGGCTGAGATTTGCCGAGCAGCAGCTACTCCGCCACGGTTGGGAGCAAGGTGAGTATAGGCATTACGTAATGTTTGGATTTGCTGGTGCGTTTGACTCACAGAGCAGTGAGTGGTTAACACGCTTAATCTCATGCTCCTTAGGAAAGGGCCTAGGAAAGGGCGAGAACGGCATCTCCGAGGCAATCAAAGTCAAAGTGAAATGTGACAAGGGAGGGGTAAGGGAGGATGACTTCTGTGACTTGCTCCCGTCTACACTATATGTCCAAAAGTTTGTAAACGCCTCTTCTAATTAGTGAATTCAGCTACTTTAAGGTGTACCCGTTGCTGACAAAGGCACACGCAGCTTGTATAATCTTAGTAGAAAAGCATGGGGTGCTCTGGAGCAGCCTCACATGAGCCAGTGGTCACTATGCCCACTGCCAGTTGTTGACTAGAGGGGTATGAAGCCCCCCTAGCATTGGCCTGTGGAGCCACCTGTGCTTCTGGAGTGATGGAGCTCCACCTCATACCTTAGGGATTGAGTAGAGTTGAAGTGGTGTTTGTGATCCAAAAAATAATCATCCAGCAGCAGTACCTGTCCTCACTAATGCTTTTTTGGCTGAAAGCAATCACATGCCCGCAGCAATGTTTCAACACCTAAAGAATGGAGGCTGTAACTGCAGCGAAGGGGGGATAATCTTCCACCCTTTATTTCAGAAGAAATGTTGTAAGAGCAGGTGTTGATAGACTTGTGGACATATATTGTAGTAAAGCTGATATCTCACATTCTTTGAAAGATTGTAAATCAACACAAATACAGCTGTGTAAAATCATGAAGCGTGCGTTTATGTTTTTTTTTTCACAGGTTGGCCATAAAGAAGGTGAGCAGTTTACGTTTCACTGGTGGGATCATGTCTTTAATAAAGCCTCTTCCAATTTGGCTGTGGAGTCAGGCCAGGTCAGTGTCTTCCAAAAGAAGAAAAACATGCCACATGATTAAGATTTAGCACACTTTAGACTTTATAAACTCCTGTGTTCACTACCAGGACCAGAACCTGTAACAATTCACTACAGTATTCATCCTTCAGGTTTACATATTTTAAATGTTTGCTCTAAACTGAGCTGCTGTGCAGTGCATTAAGTTTGAGCATCTTTCACTGTGGGGTAGGATGGTGTGGTGCTGAAGAAAGTAGAAGGAGAAGAGGAGGAGGGAATGATCTCAAATAAGAAGCCACGCAAAGCCAGCTTAAACAAGTCTTCTCTCTATGGCTGTTTTGTTAAGGTACGGAACCTACAGAACAAAAGAATGGAAAACGTGTAATGGTTGGATGAACATCTCATCTGTTTTTGATTGTGCTGAATTCCTTGACACTACAAGTGTGGTTACATGGTCTAAAGAGAAAAATAGGGAATAAGCAAAACTAAAGTTGTGAGGCAGTAACTATAACTAACTACACTGTTAAAAATGATGATTCTTTAAGGGTGTTTTAGTAAAGATAGTTCTCTATAGAACCATGCACATTCAAAGAACCATCTGCATGATCAAATGGTTCTTTGTAAGGTGAAATCATTCTCCACATTGATGGAGAATTGGTTGTATATAGTTCTGTATAGAAGCTTTTTGAAAAGGGTTCTAGATAGCACCAAAAAGGTTCTGCTATTGTCACAATGTCAAGCTTGTAACAGTAGGAGAACCCTTTTGGTGCTATAACATAGATTTTTCAAAAAGCTTCTGTATAGAGCCGTATAAAACACATTCTCCATAAATCTGAATAACTTTCGCCTTGCAGAGAATCATTTATCATGTAAACCATAAAGAACCATCTTTTTAAGAGTGTAATTAAAGTTAATTTAAGGAGAAAATCAGTGAGTATTTAGGCATTTTTGTCATAGAGAGATTAAGGAGGTGAGAAGTGTTCTTCAGATGACCTCTCAGTCCTAAGTGTAGGTGTAAGTGTCACATATTGTGAGCTGTGTGATTAAGCTAATCTCACCTTTTATAATACTCTCTGCCTTTTCTAGTCAGCCACTCTCCTCTCGGGGGAAGAACATCCTGAACGTAGATCATCCAGCTCAGATGACAGCAGCAGTTCAGACGATGAGGAGAAGTTAGACCTTTCCAGCACCACCAAGTAAGCCCCAGACTAACAACGTAGTTGTCACTTTACTTCCAATATACACATTTTACAAAATAGAGCTAGGCTGTCTTCTGTGGATTGGTGTTCTACTGATATTGAATAGGTTCTAATGGGGAAATTGGTCCACTTTTCAAAAACATTTTGATGAAAGAGACAGAAGTTGTTGGCCTTATTTAGTTGTTTTATAAAGCAACACCCATTCATATGTGGGGAGACAAAAACTCATGTCCAGGTTTCCTTCATCTGGTTTGAAATGTATACATTTGTTATACTTTATTGATCTGCTTACAAGAGGAACCTTATACAATGTGCATGTTATGTAAGGTTAGATATAGCACCAAAAAACTGCCAGCACACTTACCCCTCTCTGTCATCTGTGCGCAGGTTATCTGATGAAGCGTTGATGAAAGCCTGTGGAGGACGCACTGCACATAAGTAAGCACAAGACACTCATTTCCTCAGACTTACAGTAATGGCAGATATGCAGTGTTTATGATAAGAAAGTGTTAAGTGAAATGTAAGTGTTCTAAGTGAATGTCTCATTGTGTATAGTTTTTAGGTGTATCTAGGTGATATGCATGGCTCCTTGACTAAATGAATGTATAAGAACCTTCAAGTTTAGATGAATGCATACATAATGTATTCAAGTTATTTAGTTATTTATTTTTCTCCCCCAGAGGTGCCAGGCACGGCCTTACAATGAGTGCCAAACTAGCCAGACTGGAGCAACAAGAGCAGGAATTTATGGCAAAGTATGGCAAGAAGATACAGACAGCCAAACCTACATCTCAGAATGAAGATCCTCCTTGCTCGACTGAGTCAAGTTTCAATGGTGGCTAAGACAAAACACAAGAAATCAAAGAAGAATAAACAGGACTCAGATGAACTCTCAGACAATTGTGCCCAGGAGGGTGACACCAATAGAGAAGTCGCTCAGATCCAGCATAGTGACCCGACATCAAAAAAGCAAAAGAAACGGTCAAAAGAGAAACCTTCAGAAATGCCAGATGCTTTAGTGGACAATGATGAGACAGTCAGCACCGAGAAAAAGAAAAAGAGAGACTATTTCAAAAATGTGATGGCTCCTGCAAAGGAAGTGAATGGATCCATCCTCTTGGATGAGGATTCTGCACAGAGCTTTCAGCAATGTGAGGAGACTGTGGCACCAGAGACAGACGAGACTGCACATCCACTGACAGGTGACAGGGTTTCCAAGAAGGAAAAAAAGAAAAAGAAGAAACACTCTAAACAAAAGGGTACTTTAGAGGAAGAACTGAGTGAGAACAATGTGGTGGCCAGTGAGGACTCAGTAGATACTACAAAGAGTCATGGACAGGAGCAGCAGGAAGGGGGCAGTGTTGTGCTTCAAACTGCATGCAACAGTGTCCCCAAGAAGAAGAAAAAGAAGTCCTCCAAATCCAATAGAGAGGAATCCTCAGCTACAGAACTCGAAACCCCATCTGTTTTAGAATCCAGCACTGTAGACATGAGCACTACAGTAGAGAATATGGAAGCAGCTGCTGGAGAGAGAGAGAAATCAAAATCTAAGAAAAGAAAACAGTGCAGAGAGGAGGATCAGAATGAGGTGCTTGTAAACGGGTTATTAGATGAACTCACAGAAAAGAAAAAGAAGAAAAAAAAGAAGCATGAAAAGTAGTTTAACTTATTGGATTATATAAATTGAATACTTTGAACTCAAGAGGCATAATAAGCATGACTGGAAACAATTTCTGCTGAAGTGCCTTAAGAATCCTGTTGTATTTATGGTCTGATGGTGATCTCTGAGGGTTCAGTGTCACATTCACCCCAAAGATCACAGATTTTACATTGCCTTAATGCTTTTAATGTACTGTGACTTATGATTTGTTATGCACTGGGAAAATGTATCATTCTTAAATTGGTATTGTAACTTGTTCCTCCTTATATACAGCAATAGGACAATACAATATATACAGCAGTAGGGCAAGAGTCATTAAATGAAACAAATCTACTTAGATCCATGAACATGCTCAATGCTCTTTTGTCACAAACTTTGACTCTTTAGTTATGAAATGAATTGAATTTTGAAATTAGCCACCATTTAAAAATAAGCTATTTTGTTTACAAATCCCTTATGATGCATGATCCTCATTTCTTTAAGATGCATGCAGATATCCAAAAAGGGCATCACATCATCATGAGACATTTTACATTTTAACAATGATAGTGTAAACAAAACAAATGGCCATGACAGAAGAGATCAGGGGCCTATGTCACGAAGAAAGTTCTGCATAGACAGGGTTCTTGACTAAGTTTCAGCTCACAAAACCTAACAACTTCCTCTGTTGAGCCAGGTTTAGATACTCAATTAACTTGATTAATCTTAATGGGTGTACACATGAAAGCATGACATTTATGATAAACATTAAATCTTGGGAAACATGAGTCGTTAGCTGCTTTTTTTATTTTTTTTTATATAAAACTGCTAACATGCAAGTATTTATAATGGTACAAAAGCAATGCTGTATCCACTGCCACCACATGACTCCAGTTATTACTCCAATGAGTGCTTATTGGAGTAATAACTGCTTTAGATTTTTAACATCTATGTAGAGATTTACTTCCTCTGCTAAAGAGCGAATTTTCTTCACATGATTGATGCCACAAATGTCATAAAGGAAAAAAAAAAAGTCACAGAGGAGTCCGCCTTCATCGTCTCTGTTTGGTCCAAGGGTTGTTCATGATATGAACTCCTGAACATAACCTGCTTTGAAGCAGGTTAAGCATGCAACCTGAGTTGTTATGGTGATGTAGCCTAGTAAAAAGTAAGCCACAGTTGGAACCAAGCTTAAAGTTAGCTGGATAAGCATGAACTCCTGCCTCATGTATCATGTCCCGGATGTGGATGTAATTCTGCTGAGCTGTGAAACTTACACACAATCTTCAGCAAGACAAAAATGTTGCCTAATTCTAGTGAACATCCACTATGGTTTGCATGTAAACTCCAGTGAACAACTTTGAATGATGAAAATTTAAATAAATAATATTTTTGGGGCTCTGTGCTAGATGGGCCCTTTTACTCCATATCAGGGGTCCTCTTGCCTCAAATGTTTTTCACATTCTTACTTCAAAAGAAAAAAGTATCCTGTAAAAAGTACTTTCCCAAGTTACCCCATATGCTTGACATCCTTAAATAGTAAACTTTTGTTTTATGTTTGTTGAATCGGTTAGTAATAGTCAGTGGGCTATTACTGATTTTTCTATCTGCATTTTTATGGAAGTGGGCAGTTAAGAAGGTCAGTTATTTGCAGTATAGGTTTTTCTTGGCCATTCCAAAGCTCTCATCTCACAGATCCATTTATTGTACATGTTACAGTAATTTGGCTCCCAGCTTTTCTGAGCATTGCTGCTAGGTTTTGTGAGTACACAACTATCATCCGATTGTTTTGGGGGGTCAATCCAGAACCTGTGAAAGAGAGTGCTGTGGTTTAGAACAATAAAAAACACTGATGCAGGGCTGTGGCTAAACAATGTGATCTTGATCACATTCAATGATGTGATCTTAACCTTGAGTTGATTCTTACCCATTCTTAAGCGCAGTACCAGAGGTCCAGGCCCAGATTCCATTCTTTTTATTAAGTCCAATCCAGTACCCATGATATTTATCATAATAAGAAGGAGTGTTCTGCCTGATGAATTCCTAAGTGCGCATGAAAGATGAGCACATAAAGGTAGTTGTGGGTGAAATGACACTAGAGGGAGTCATACTACAAGCAAATGACTCAAGAAAAAGTGCAAAATCTAACAGAACTGAACTAGATATTTAGTTCACTAGTATCCACTACAACTAAAAGTACTACAACTAAAAGTACTTGATGCCTGTGTTTAGATTAATAATCCAGATGAATTTGCTCTTCTTTGAAGCTCACCTGTTCCTCTATGTTGTCTACGGTTACTAGGTCTCCTCCTTGTTCAGTGCAGTACTGCTGGCTCTCTGCCCAGGTTCTCCAGTTTAAGCCTGTGTGGAATAAGTAACAGCTGGACCCGTTCTGAATCCAGTTCTTCCTACAGGGCCCACAGTACATTTCTGCAAGAGAAAACATTTAGATTTGATTCAGAATAGATAGATATGGTGCTATGCATGTGTTCCACACCAAGATTATACCAAAAAAGGAACTTTTGAGGTGATGATGGAGAAAGAGAACTTCTCCTACCTCCATTATTTGATTGACAGAACGCACGGACTGGAAAACTGGAAAACTGTGTGATGAACCTCAGGGCCGTGTTTAACTGATCTCTCTGTGCAACCAGCTCTGCATTCTCTTTCTCCAGTGCTGCTTTTTCAGCCCGCACCTTCCAATGGGCTGTGGTCTCATTGGTGTGAAGTGCCTGCAGAAGACGATTGTAACTGGTTAGGTTGTTTTAGTGCTGATTGACACTTGCCATATTGAACTGCCATGTGGTATGGGTGACATTTAACTGCTGAAGTTCTCACCAAGACGGCACTGTACTGGGAAACCTGGGTGATGTCTGTGAAGATAAAGAAAAGGTGGTCATGTATCATGTAATGTCAGATCCAGTTTAGGTCTAGTCCTGGGCAATAATCTTCAATAGAAACCACTACTGACTGCTTCATCTGTGACTGGAACACTAGGCAGAATGTGGTACAATTTCAAATGGGAAGAGGCAGGACTTACTCATTACACTCATTGCCACGACACCTGCCAGTAAGAGAACACACAGCAGCCCCAAACAAGCTGTGGCCCATCTGTATGATGCAGCGCGGGATGCGGCCGCATCAGCTACGAGAGAACACAACTATTATGTGATTGCAAAATTTTGTTCATAGAGCTGACTGTAGAGCACAATCAGGCTGAAGCCTGTTATCAAACTCAACATAGGCACATCTCAAGTGGAGTTTTCAAAAAAAAACAAACAAATTGCATAATAAAATTATTTACACGTAAGCAAAGTCATTCAGAGTGGTTTGGTGTGAAATGCTCAGTTCTAGAGAAACTTGCAGAGATAGAATCGTTCACAGTGGTGGTGATAAGAACCAGACATCCAAAGCATTTAATGCCTCTGAAAGCTCCTTCACAGAGCATTATTACATGAAATTATTATAAATATGCTGCCTGATGTCTAAGACATTGATTTACGATAGTTTTGACTTAAGCTTTTGGGCTTTTTTTAAATACATGCGGGGCGTTGTAAGACAAAATATTACCCAAAGAAAATTATTTTTGGGAGATTTTCACCATTTCATCATTACCAACATTACACATAAAAAGGCAGGTGTAGGTTTACTGGTCATTTTGGATAGTAAATAAAACTCTTTTCTATCACCAACACTGTAAAGAAATCAGACTCAGTAGGTTTTTCTGTAATGAACCACTTCATATCAAAATGAATTACTCTATATACAACTCAGTGATTATTTTGAAAAAAAAAAAAAAAACTTTTACAAGAATGGAATGCCTTCAGAGACAGAAAACACCTCTGATGACAGGTAGGAGTCTGATTTAACTGAATAATAAAAACAAGATAGTAGCTATAATGGTGCTAATACTGCTATGTTAGATGATCATCTTTTTTTGTAACGTTTTCAATATATGTACTCAGTGTTTTGACCGTGAATTGAATAAATACGAGTATTTTATATCATTACTCTATACAATCAAATATACACTATATGTCTAAAAGTATCCTGACACTCCTTCTAATTAAAGAATTTAAAGCACATCCATTGCTGGCACAGGCAAAAAGCTGCATGCACATCTCTACAGAAAAACTGTTACTGTAGATTAGGTAACACTAGAGCAGTCTCACATGAACCTAAGATCACCATGCCCAATGCCAAACATCTGCCAGAGGGGCATGAAGCCCCCCAGCACTGGGCCATTGAGCAGTGAAACTGTGTTCTCTGGAGTGATGAAGCTCAAATCAATACCTTTGGGATGAGTTGGAGTGGAGTTCCAGAACTAAATCATCCAACATCAGGACCTGAGCTCACTAATGCTCTTGTGACTGAATGCAATCAAATCCTCACAGCAATGTGCCAACATCTAGTGTAAAGCCTTCACAGAAGAGTACAGGCTGCCACTGCAGTAAAGGGGGAGATGAAATCTCCTAATTGTCAAAGTCAATTCTCCACAGCCATGGAAGAAGTATTGGACAGATGTTGGGATACTTTGGAGTATTTATATTCATAAAGTATGTAAAGCATATGAGAAAAAATACCCTGAAGTCAAAGAGTCCAGATAAAGTACAGTCTTGCAATTAGAAATGTGAAATCTACCAACTAAAGCAGCAGATCTTTCACCTGCAGGCTCAGGAATGCTCTGTGATGGAGCGTCTCTGTTCATCTTGATGTCTGAGTACACCACCTCCTCAGCCGGCCCCGCTGCTACTTAGAGACAGAAACAGAATTGAGGCAGAGGCTTCACTAAGCAAAACAAGACTGAATGAGGCAGAAGAATGCGCATGCTACACTTTCCCTTGTGCCACTTAATTTAGGACAGATTTTAAAAATCTTTAAACTGCTGGTAAGTTTGCATTTGGTCTTAACACCCTGAAGCTATTGATACTATTAAATTCTCTCCCACAAGGCAGGTACCCTTTAAAACCATGAGAATGGTTTTAACATACAGAAAACTGGTTTTATATCTATTGATTAATTTTCATAAGCTTGAAATCCTCTTCTTACCTATTTAGCTTTTGAATTATATGATGGTCAGTTTCACACATAAAATGATATATGAATGTTATCATTATTGCTATTATTATTATGATATGGTCTTATGATGTTTTCTTTTATTGTCTTTGTAGTTATTTCTAGTAATCATCAGTTACTGTTGCGGTTTGAGCCACCAAACTGGAAAAAAATACCTACCCCGCTGAAAAAGTGTCATAGAAACTGTTAAAAGTTCCTGTTGGTTCCTGGTGGTGTCCAAAAGCCACTAATGATATTTTGTGTTTTCCTGATGGGTTGATATCACCATGTAAAGGACGCTAATGGTTTAACAGGTTTTCTGAGACTGATTACAGATGCATCTGATGGTTTTCTAATGGGATCTAAAGATATCATACAGGAAACTATTGTTCTTCAATGGTCACCATTAAGCCAGTTCCCATTAGAAAGTAAAACCATCAAGTTTAAATCCTAACGGTTCTAATGGTCTTTTTTCAGCAGGGTACTCTGTAAACTCTGTGACATCTCATAGACATTCATCAGGCCAGCGACAACATCAAATTGGAAAAAAGTGGAAAGAAAAAGTAAAACTCACCTTTAGGCTTCGCATCATCATATCTATTAAACACTACTGTAGAATAGAACACCTCACCCTCCATCTTCACACTACAGACTGAGGACACAAGCAACTGAAGAGTGATATACTCACACAGGAAAAGCCTCTGTGGTGTTAGACTGAACTAATGGCTTCTGCTTGTGTAAGAGTGGTGGAAAGGGTCAGTATTTGGTCATGCTTTGGAAAGTACTACTTTTGGAAATTCACGCAGTGCCTAGTCGCATCCTGTTTGTCATGTAGGTATGCAGTAGAGTATGACCAGTTTCAGGCTACATCTTGTCCAAACAGAACATTTTTTTAAATATGTACCCACCACACGGAATGTGCCCTGCTGACCATTACATGACCTCACCCAGCAGCAACCTGGACTTTGACAAAGTCATCCTGTCCATAGAGGGGACAGGCCTAAAGTTCAGCTTCAGCAGAATGCCAGTGGTGGACCAGAAGAATTTATACCTTGCCCCAGTATACACACTTTATTTGGGCAATATCTGAATAAATAAAAGGCTGTTGTATTCTTCCATAGTGGTTTTCATATTATATTGATGATATAATCAAAAAGCCAGATTTAATCATAATCCTCATAATCATCTCAGGTTTACCTGGACATTCAATAACCCCCCCTAAAAAATAAAAATAAATAAATAAATAAATAAATAAATAAATAAACAAACAGGAAGAGAGGAAGGATATCACTTTGTGTGATGTTTTCATCTAGGAAGAGTGTATTTCCACACTAGGTACTTCAACATCTAAACAGGACTGTCACATATGTTGAAAGTGTGACTGTCATGGCAGCTGAAGCATTGCTAATACACTATATACTGTATGTTATGGACGTTGTGCAAGTGCCTGTTTACACACTGCTGATTGTTCAACATCACAAAACTACATGAACCATGTCTGGGAACCATTTTCTTTAAAATGATATTCTGTCAATTCTGTGAGGACCTGGTGTAGGGTCAGCCCAGAACACAAAATAAAAGTGGGCTCTCTGCAGGGCAACCCCAGGGTTCTCTCACAATCCAAAAAATGGCAACCAAAAATGAAGCATCCCTGCAATATATATAGCTCTGCCACATATTCTTAAGCTGACGACTGCTCCTACACCCATCCATTTTTATTGATAAACTGGGCAGACCTGATAATTCTTCTCAACTGACCTGTCCTAGGTCCACCCACAAATGTCCCTTCATAGCAGCTGGGAGCTTTACAGAACATTAGTAAAAATCCCATTCGACCCAATGAGAAACTGCACAACAAAAAAAAGCTACATTTTGTGAGTTATTACTTTCAAAAGACTCATTCTGTACACCTGTGAACGCTCACGCTGTTGGATCAGGTGTAGCATGATGGCAAATTCAACATAATTACAATATGTCAGCTGAGTAGAAATTTAAACCTGAAACTCAACGTTACGTAATACCAAGATTGTGATCCAAGTAATGTATGTCTGCGTTATGCACATTTGTTTTCTATGCTTTGTTGAAAATATAGGGGATGTAGAGCTGGGCTGCCCCTTCTGTTTAACCTGTTTGATGTTGTTTATAGTTAGAGTAGTGAAGGTAGTGTTTTTGTTATGTTCTTTTCATTTTTGCTGGTAGATTTGTTAGTTAGATGTTTTTTCTAGGTTTTTGGTTCCTCCTTAAAGTTATATTCCCTCTCTTTTTTTATGTTTATATTATAAGTGATGGCTGGCTACAAAGTGTCTAAAAATGCAGAGCACTAAATAACTTCATAAATCTGCAATTAATGTTTTTTCTATTACCTATTAATTGTAAATTCCTCTTTGTTGTGGTCAGGCGACTGAAAGGGCACGCTCGCTTCCTCATTGTTGCGTCTAACCCCTAGGAGACGGAACATAGCACAGACGTGTAACGGATAAGAGTGTGGTCGCATTTTGACCACAGGGTGGCGCAGTAAAGAGTGCAGTGGACTATTTCTTATATGTGTATTATACACACACACACACCCACACCCACATATATATATATATATATATATATATATATATATAACAATATGACACAATATTTTGCTTTTGGCTCCCAAAACGTTTCAGGAACAGCAATACAATATAAAGTTTCCAGAATGTTATGGAATGGTTTCGATGAAATAACCTAAGGGGAACCATGTTATAATGTTGCGTTCTGTGTTTGCTGGATAAGCAATTGCTATTTAGGGGAAATTTTTGGATCTTATCGCTTCAAACAGGAACACCCAGAAATAAATGACTATATAAAGACAAAGCTTCAGTAAAAATAGCCTCGTAACATTTATCATTCTCAGCACTGACTCAAGATCTTGAACACATCTGTTGAGGAATACCATGTGCTTGACTGCTTTCTATGAGGGACAGACACTCCCAGCAGTACTAGAGTTAAATGGACAAATTACATCACTCCTCTCTTTCCCTGTCTCCACCCCTCCTCTGACTCCCCTCTGCCCTCCCCCTCTCCTCCCCTACTATGAAAGTGTCTCTCTTTGCCGGCCATTCAAGCAAGTGCCACTGAGGCTTCTGGAGGCAACTGACCCTGGAGCCAGCCTTTCGAAACAGACACTAGAGCACAGCCATACAGGCTACAGCATAGTGCTGTTATTGTGGACCTGAACCAGGCCGCCTCTCACTGCAATGGAGATCCCAAGTGTCCGGCAGCTGCTCCCTCACGTCGGAGAGGAGAAGTACCAAATGCTGGAGCTGAACAAGAGGCTGGAGTCATACTTGGGCCGTGTGAAGCTGCTGGAGGAAGAGAATCAGCTTCTACGGGGGGAGATCCAGGCACTTCAGAGGAACAGAGATACCAAAGGTCAAAGGCAAGCCCACGAAGAAGCCCTCAACCTGGCCAGGAGAGAGGCACAGGCTGCCTGGATGAAGAAGGATCGCGTGGAGCTGGAGGTGAGCAACCTCGTAGAGGAGATGGAAGTGCTGAATGCACAGAGACAAAAAGAGAGGGCAGCGCAGGCCAAAGCTAAGAGAAAACTAGCAGAATACAAGAAGATGATGGAGGACGAGTGGAGGACGCAGATTTGGCTAAGAGAGCAGGCTGCTCACCTTGAGAATGAGGTTTCGCTGCAGGTGCAGGTCCACCAGGAGGAGATGGCAAGCCTGAAGTCCACAAGTGCCCTCTCAAAGCCTATACTACTGGCTCCTCAGCACGGCCAAACCATCAGCCTCCAGGGCCTGGGGGAAGAGTACTCCCAAAGAGCGGCCCTGGCATGGCAGGTGGCAGCAGGTGTGTATCAAAGACAGGTAGAGCAGCTGGAGGACAGCCTGAACCAGGCCAGAGCTCACATGGCACAGATCAACCAGGAGAAGAAGGAGAATCAGCTATATGTGCAAGATTTAGCCAAAGAGCTGGAGAGCACAAAAGTCAAGAGGGAGCTGCTGGAGAAGAACATAACCCAGCAGAGAGAGAGGCAGAATCAAGAGCTTCAACAACTTCAGGTAAAAATGAAGACTCTGCAACAGCTACTAATTCTTATTCATGTGAGAATCGAATAAATACAACTAAGTTCTACTTGTTATTACATTCAGATTGTTGCTGTTAGAACAAAACCCTGCATCTCCATTTTTGTTGTTTTACATTTTTGACATCATTTGAAGTTGTCCTTTACATTGTGTGAAAATTTAATGAAGAATGGACTAATAGAAATAGAAGTGGTCCATAATTACTTGAAAAATCTCTTTACATTAACTTACATTGAAAGTCAAGATGTTTTTTTCCTTCTCCTGTAACGTTACTATTTTGGAGATACAAGGTTTTGGTCAGACGGTGCCTATTGTCAAACATCTGGTCCCATTACCAAGCCTAAAAGCATTAGGATAATGGAATTAGTGCTGTACTGCCAGATGTAATCAGCTTGAACGGTGAGAAATTATTTTTTAAATCAATATGTGATGCAAAAAACAATGACTGGATTTCATGTCATTGTTTCTTGTTAAAGCTCAGCTGAAAGGAAGCAAATATGAAGCAAGTCAACTAAAAAAAAGGCCACAACCAACCACAACCAACATTCCTTAAACATAAAAATGTCATTTCATGCGAATAGACTGCACTGAGCAGTACGCTACAGAGAAGATGAAGCTACAGAAAAAGGAAAAAACCTTAAGATTTCTCACTCATCGTTTTAGTCACTGGTTGACAACACGGAAAATGACAGTGTGCTCATTATTGAAGGGGTTATGAGTCTACGCTGACGGAGCCCATTACAATTAAACTTCTTATCTGGTGGTCTCCAGTACTAAGAAGCCTTTTATTTGCCATAGAACCACTCACCAAAGAAGTGCTGTGTAATGCATTTTTGTGCCCCCCCAAATTCCTCAAACAAAGATATAGTGTGTAAATAGCTGGAGAGAAATTTAATATGTTTTGGAGGTTTTTCCAAACTTTTCATGTCTATCTGTCTACAGGTTGAGGTGGAGGCTCTGGAGTCAGAGAAAGTGGATCTTGGGGAGCAGATAGGTGATCTGCTGGTTGATACACGTGACCTGCTGCAGACGAAGATGCGTCTGGGGCTGGAAGTGGCCACTTACAGGTATTTTTATCCTTAAAATTATCTTCCTCCCTCTCTTCCACCGTGCCATTCCCTTAGGAAAACAAATCATAGAAGATAATAACATGTAGTCTGTTTGTGCCAGTCACTCCCCTAGTTTTTCAACACTCTATTATACATCTCCTCCAATTCAAGGAAGAGCATAGCACTGCTGCTGCAAACTATAAGAGTTGTCACTGATATAAAGAGCTATTTCAGTTGCCCTGGAAAGGGGTAACCTTAGACTTTAGATAAGTGACTCCAAATGGGCTTCACCGTATCTGCCATTCAGCACTGCCCCACACCCATGCGTTAAGATACAAACTGAAGAGACAAGCCCAGGAAGTCTAGAGTGACTAGGGTGAGCCATTTGCATAACTTGCAAAAGCATTCAGATCCTTGAAATAATCCATATTTTTATGCACTCCTAAAAATAAAGGTGTAAACAAGGCTATTTAGAGTAACGCTATGAATTAAGCACTTTTGATTTGCTTAGAAAAACCTTTCAATGGACGGTTCTTTGAAGAAATATTTTTTGTAAATGAGATGTGCAAATGTGAAGAACTGTTTTACAAAATGTCCACATAACATTGTGGCTCTTTAATGTTATTTTTCCTAGAAACATGCATCATGCACCAAGCCAAGAACCATTTAGGAACTTTTATTTTTAAGTATGTACGACATGCCCTAGTGATGGACCACTTTTGTTTCTGCTCATCTTTGTGGTTCTTTGTTAGGTTCTCAATTTAAAATTTAACTGTGTGCTTATGTTGTGAGTGCAGTGTAAATCTTGGCTAGAAACGTAGTACATTGTTTTAGTAGTTAGAGTACGCCCCATTGGGCAAATACTGTGTCATCAATGACATCAAAACCATATAACTGCATTTTGTTAGATTTTTAGTTTTCTTTTTATCGTTTACGCTGTGTAAAACATTCATGATAATTTGATCAATAAAAATAGTTCAAAATGACATTTTTCATTCTCCTGTAAAGTTACCATTTTGGGGATACATATATTATTATTATTGGGACAGCAACAATGTGCACATTGTCTAAGAACTCAAAGAGAACTAATTTGAAAGTTATATTATGATATGCCCATTATTAGTAGTTGTATAAAAGATTTTTTTTTTCCTGAGGGTCACATTCTTCCCAAGTAAGTATTCCCATAAAAGGGAACACTCATGGTTGTGTATGCTGGAATGGGAATAATCCACACGTGTGAAATAAAAATAAGAATTACGGCTGCTCTGTCTGCTCATATAACCCGGATCCAACAGCCACGTTCTTGCTCTCACGCTGGTGGATCTGACTGTGTGTGAAGCCTATCATTAGTCACGATGATGTGTGATGGATAAAGGCACCAACAGTGGCCTGTGTGCTGCAGATGGTCTGACAATAACAAATCTGAAACTTCATTTCCATAACAACAGACTCCGGCTCTGGCCTGCTGCTCAAGGGCAACAAAAGCCTTCCCGCCCCCTTCCTTTCTTCACCCTCTGTGTTTTAGAAAGTTCATTCCTCCACACACAGCAGACCTTAATCCTTTACTAGTGTAAGCTAGCTGCAGTTAACATCTCTCGTCACAACTGACTAGGAGATGTTGACCAAAATCAAGGCCTAAAGTTCCAAACCTCAATCCTAAAAAAGGTGGGACAGTATATGAAATGGAAATAAAAACAGAAAGCAGTGAATTTTAAATCCATGTTGACCCGTATTTAAAGGTACAAAGGAAATATATTAATTCAGAAATTAATGATGAGAATGTCGTGAAATGGTCAAAAATATCTTGACAGATGATGCAATCATGCTTGGGTATATAAAAGGAGTATCCAGGAAAGGCCTAGTCCTTTATAAGCAAGTATGGGTTGAGGCTTGTGTCAGTCGACTTTTTAGACTGTTTAGATTGTTTATGGAAAGATTAGTGTTCACCATCCCAGCTGTTACCAGTGTAAAGTTCAAAAGCCAGGATCTGTCATGGTGTTGAGAGGGAGTTGCACTTGCACATCTGTGAAGGCACCATTAAAAGATAAGTACATATTTTGTAGCAACATATGCTGCTTTCTAGGGAATGCCTTTTTCAAGGATGTCTATGTTTATTTCAACATGACAACACCAAGCAAATTCTGCATGTGTTACAACTGCATGGCTGTGTAATCAGAGAGTGCGAGTGCTAGACTGGCCTGTGTGCAGTATAACGAAAGAATGACACAAAATTATGCGTTCAAGACTGGATCAATTGGTGGGGTCAGTCCCCAAACCATTAAGAAGAGCTGTCAGAATGAAAGGTGATGTAATACAGTCGTACTCCCAAAAAAGCTCCCAAGATTTTTGGTATTTAGATTTGTATTATGTATAAACTGTAGTATAATGCCTAAACTGAGTCTAGGACTTTTTCAAATAGGTAGTTGGTTGTGAGCTCATGTAATTAAATGTAGTGATATGCATTTTATTTTTAATTTAAAAACACACCAGTGTTTTTAGAAAGGCTTTCCATTTTCATGTACATTGTGGGGTATGTTCTAGAAGGTTCAAGTCAGCACTCAAAAAAGTGTGTGATTGGAATTCTATGACTGCCTTTATAGTAATAACTTTAACACTTCTTTTCCATGTTCTTCAGAGCTTTGTTGGACAGCGAGAGCCTGAGAGTTAACGGCCAATCAACAAGGAAGACCAGCATCCGGACAGAATCTCTTTTAGGTGATTTTTTTTTTTTTTTCATTTTCAATATACCATCACACATCTGAGCTTTACAGAATGGTTTTGTCGACTTCAAAAAATAAAAACATGGCTTAATTCAACTTATTTTTAAAGTCAAATAAAATAGAGTGTTACTAATAGGAGTATAAACACTTATAATAAAGGTTCTCTACGGGACGAGGTACCAAAGCATATACAAGAAATGAAGCTTCACAGCACTCTACTTAAGAGTCAGTGATTCATCTCCGATCCTGAATGACACTGATAAGAATGGTCCCAGTGCTCAACCATATCACTGCCTGTAGTGCGCAAGTGTGTGGGGGTGGTGTATTCACTCTACTAAATGGAGTTGGTCCTGGTAATGGCAGACTCCCCATCGGTCACTAGACCAGATGGCTGTACTTCCAGTAATGGGGCCTGAGAGAGACAAAGAGAAGATCAATATCTATCACCATTACTGTGTACTACTGTGTATCCTGATAATTCCTCTGTGAGAGGGACAAGGGCTCTATAACCATGATTGTTCAGTAAAACTTTGCCAAATCTAATAGACTACGTTCCCTTAGTCAGATGTCTGCCCATTCAGTATTATACTTGCATCCCAATCATTATTAAAATGAAACAATGCAAAAGAAAACAAAACCACAAATTACAGGGATACAGAATGTGTAATACTTCCTGTGTATTACAACAATTTCTCTGCTTTTTCCTAATTTTGTCCAACCTATGTTACATCTGAAACACCAATCCTTTCATTTCATTCACAGAAGCGCTTTCCAAGCCCCATGGGATTCATCCAGGCACTCAGACCATCTCAGCTTCCTCTCTCCTCAGCAGTCCACTGACTACCTCTAGATCAATCACACATTCTAAAGCCAATCTCATGACTCCCACTCCTTCATGGAGCCTGACACGAAGCACACAGGAGACACCCAAGAGGCTGCAGAATGGTGAAAAGGAAGAAGGCATAAGTAAAGGGACAGCAACATTTCAAATGACATCCATAGTTACATCGACAAGGTCTCTCACTGGAACAGGCTTGGTTCCTTTCACACCTGAGAAAGCTCATGAAGAAGTGAGCTGTACTACTGCTGTTTCTGATCGTGTGGTTCCTCCAGCTGTAGATGAGCCAGATTCCATACCAAGTGCACATATTAAAGAAGACTTAGAGGAGCCCACACTCAGTGCACATGTTCCAGAAGACTTGCAGGAGCCCACACTCAATGCACATGTTCCAGAAGACTTGGAGGAGCCCACACTCAGTGCACATGTTAAAGAAGACTTGGAGGAGCCCACACTCAATGCACATGTTCCAGAAGACTTGCAGGAGCCCACACTCAATGCACATGTTAAAGAAGACTTGCAGGAGCCCACACTCAGTGCACATGTTAAAGACTTGCAGGAGCCCACACTCAGTGCACATGTTAAAGACTTGCAGGAGCCCACACTCAGTGCACATGTTAAAGACTTGCAGGAGCCCACACTCAGTGCACATGTTAAAGAAGACTTGGAGGAGCCCACACTCAGTGCACATGTTAAAGAAGACTTGGAGGAGCCCACACTCAGTGCACATGTTAAAGAAGACTTGGAGGAGCCCACACTCAGTGCACATGTTAAAGAAGACTTGCAGGAGCCCACACTCAGTGCACATGTTAAAGAAGACTTGCAGGAGCCCACACTCAGTGCACATGTTAAAGAAGACTTGGAGGAGCCCACACTCAGTGCACATGTTAAAGAAGACTTGGAGGAGCCCACACTCAGTGCACATGTTAAAGACGACTTGGAGGAGCCCACACTCAGTGCACATGTTAAAGACGACTTGGAGGAGCCCACACTCAGTGCACATGTTATAGAAGACTTGGAGGAGCCCACACTCAGTGCACATGTTAAAGAAGACTTGCAGGAGCCCACACTCAGTGCACATGTTAAAGAAGACTTGCAGGAGCCCACACTCAGTGCACATGTTACAGAAGACTTGCAGGAGCCCACACTCAGTGCACATGTTAAAGAAGACTTGCAGGAGCCCACACTCAGTGCACATGTTAAAGAAGACTTGGAGGAGCCCACACTCAGTGCACATGTTAAAGAAGACTTGCAGGAGCCCACACTCAGTGCACATGTTAAAGAAGACTTGCAGGAGCCCACACTCAGTGCACATGTTAAAGAAGACTTGCAGGAGCCCACACTCAGTGCACATGTTAAAGAAGACTTGCAGGAGCCCACACTCAGTGCACATGTTAAAGAAGACTTGCAGGAGCCCACACTCAGTGCACATGTTAAAGAAGACTTGGAGGAGCCCACACTCAGTGCACATGTTCCAGAAGACTTGCAGGAGCCCACACTCAGTGCACATGTTAAAGAAGACTTGGAGGAGCCCACACTCAGTGCACATGTTAAAGAAGACTTGGAGGAGCCCACACTCAGTGCACATGTTCCAGAAGACTTGCAGGAGCCCACACTCAGTGCACATGTTAAAGAAGACTTGCAGGAGCCCACACTCGGTGCACATGTTAAAGAAGACTTGGAGGAGCCCACACTCAGTGCACATGTTCCAGAAGACTTGCAGGAGCCCACACTCAGTGCACATGTTACAGAAGACTTGGAGGAGCCCACACTCAGTGCACATGTTAAAGAAGACTTGGAGGACCCCACACTCAGTGCACATGTTAAAGAAGACTTGGAGGAGCCCACACTCAGTGCACATGTTAAAGAAGACTTGCAGGAGCCCACACTCAGTGCACATGTTACAGAAGACTTGGAGGAGCCCACACTCAGTGCACATGTTAAAGAAGACTTGGAGGACCCCACACTCAGTGCACATGTTAAAGAAGACTTGGAGGAGCCCACACTCAGTGCACATGTTAAAGAAGACTTGGAGGAGCCCACACTCAGTGCACATGTTAAAGAAGACTTGCAGGAGCCCACACTCAGTGCACATGTTAAAGACGACTTGGAGGAGCCCACACTCAGTGCACATGTTAAAGAAGACTTGCAGGAGCCCACACTCAGTGAACATGGTAAAGAAGATTTGGAGGAGATCCTTACTGTGAATCAATCAAAGGCTAGACAGGATACTTTTGGCCCTGAGGAAGCAGCATTGATTAGTTTGCCAGCTGGACATCTGAGTAGCCTTCCCCAGACTCCAGAGGGAGAGGCGCCCTTTAATCTACACACAGAGGATACAAAGGGTTCAGAGGATGGAGAAGAAGAGGAGACTGAGGTGTCTACTGAGATGGCTCAAATATCACATGCGCCGATGTTTGCCTGGGAGGAAAATGATACAGCGATACCAGAGGAGAAAGATGTAGTCTCTGAGCTTGAGTCAGAAAACACCAGTGAAAACTACATGCAAGAATGTAGAAGAGACAATACACTAACAGATTTAAAACAGCTTGGTGAAGACAGTGAGAACCCAGCTTTGCCATTATTTGAACAGACATCTTTGCATTCCACAGATGCATTTAGCCATGATGAGAAAAAGAGTGAAAATAAAACATGGGCAGATGATGCAAAGGAGAGTGTTGCCAACATCCCTGGAGTGGAGTCACTCGAAAGTGCACCTGAAGTAGAAAGAGAGTCAATAGAAAGGTGGGAGGAAATAGATACGACTGCAGAAATAGAAGATGAAGCAGAAGTCGAATGTTGTGGCACCGACGAGCAGGAAGGTCATCATTCTGATGTTGAATTGCAAGAAGAGGAGACAAAAAGTGATTCCGAAACTGAAGAGAGTAAAGTGGAGGTGAGAAAAAAAGAGAAAGTGTCTGATGGAGAAGAAGAGAAAGAGGAGGAAGAGAGGAAGATGGATGAAGATATTGCAGTTATAGACGAAAACTTGGCTAGTGCCGGAAAAGAAGCTATAGTACAGGACTCTTCTGCCTTAGAGCTTGAGGTTGATCCACACAGAAATTCAGAACATACAGAGCAAATGACTGACTTAGTGGTGGACACATATCAGGAAGACCAACTTTTAGTTGAGGATCACGCAGAAGAGGAGCAGATGCAGAGTGATGAAGATGAATCATTAAACATCTCTGCTTCGTGGAGAACTGACCTTGGTGAGGCAGACAGCTACGCCCAGGAGAACACGCTAGCGGACACTCGTCCCCTCATTCATTACAAAAGTGATGAAGAGACAGATGCCAACACTCAGGTTTCTCATATGGGAGTGAGTGACAGTGAGGAAGAAAGGGAGAAACATGAAGAGGTCCTCATGTGGAGCCAGAACATTGCCAAACGCTTTGATACCATGGAGGACCTGTCTGATCAGCCTGAGATCGCCTACTCAGACAACGTAGTAATGGAGGAATCGGCTCAAACTGTGGTAGAAGAGAACATTGATGAGATAACCAATGAGGATTCTGTAGAGCCTGTGAGTGAGGACATTCTTCAAGGTGAAAGTACTGATGTGGACATTAATGTTGACTTACTGAAGGATGATACTTTGGTGGATCTTGTAGAAAATGACTTCAGGAATCGTGAGGAGAGTAGTCAAGGTGCAGAAGATACAGAAAAGAAAAATCAGGTTCTCCTGGTTCAGGAACAAGAAGAGAACTCAGGTTTACAAGACTGGAGTTTCGTCAGTGAAACCGAGCGACAGGCTCTTCCATTTGAGCAGCCTGCCACTGGTGAGGATGACATTGCCATTACTAATGACAACACAGAGATGTGCTATATGGAGTCCTTCATGCAAATCAAGTCAGAGGGAGAAGGTGAAAGTGGAGTAAAGACACACTCTGACTATTTCCCCCTTGTCACAGACAAACCACTGCTTGAACCATCCAAAGAACAAGGCCTGGAAGAAGAGCTCCATGAAATACCATCAACAGAGACCCCACATTCAGATGTATTTCCAACTGAATCAAATTTGACTGAAGAACAGGCCTTTACAAAAGAGGAAGATGAGCAGTCAAATCTGTCAATGCTCACTCATGCAGATTTCACGGACAACCTTTCTCAACACAGTGGGCTGAACAGTCGGCCAGAGAGCCAGACCAACATAGCCAACTCAGACTTGGAAGAGTCCAACAGCTCAGAAGATGAATCTCCTAATGCTAGCCAGTGCTCTCAGCTCCTTAGCCATGCAGCAGTGTCAACCAAGCTTTTAGACTTCAGCAATGCTGCTACATCTGGTGAAGCCTCAAAGAATGATTCAGTGTCCTTCACAGGCCTTCTGGAGGAGGTGATGAAAGAGAGGTTTGAGGAGGAGAGCATTGAAAATTACAGCACTTCTCAGGCAGCAGAATGGGAGAGGATAAGTCAAAACAAGGAGGAAGAGCAAATTTTAGTGGACAACAGCAGCAGTGGAATGCACGGAAATACTAGCAGTCTTCCTCAAATGCAAGAATGGGAGGATTTGGACCATCCAGACATCACAGGAGCATCCAATAACATCCTCATTGGTACGACTATGGAGGACAACAAAGCATCAGGAAAGGAGGATATTTTCCAAGGCAGTGTCCTAAATGAAGAACCTCAAACCAAGGAAAAAGAAAATGACCTTCACAGCTTCTTTACATCAAGCATAAAGGAAGACATCTGGAGTGCAACAAAATTTGAGATGGCTGCTACATTTGACTCAAATGAGCCAATAGACACAACAAACACTATTCATCCAAACCAGAGCATGACCTTTGAGGAGGACTGGGGAGAGCTGGGGAGCCTGAAAGCAGCTAATGGGAAACCTGAGAAAGAGATGAGCATCTCTACAGCTCAATCAGAAGAGGAGGAGGAAAGGGAAGAGCAAGAGATGCCACAGGCAAAACAGCTCCAGTGTCAAGATGTGAAAGGTGGACAAGTGGAGGCTGTCCAGTCAGATGACTCTGTTGATGATGGAGACTCCTGGTCCTCTGGTGAGGCGTAATGCTACTCTAAAAGCATTACCGTCCCCACACACTCACAGACTTTCAATTTAGTTATATTTATTTATCTTTTTTGCTGCAGCATATATAACACTAATTGATAACCAAAGGCTGAATCTAGGAAAGGAAAATTAAAGTATAAACACTGCATATTTGTGCCTTGCTAATAAAAATGTATCTGCTTAGTAGCTTTATGTCTTCACAAGGAAAATTTGCATTGCATGAGTTCTCTTCACAGTGAATTTCCATGAAACACCTCAAATTTTAAGAAATAAACTGAATCAGATGGTACTGCTAGGAGTTTCTAAACAATGTGTCATAGACACCTTTTGTATCTGTATCCGCTTTTGCTACACAAAAGATAATACACTTGTTTAAGAAGTTTGGGATACAAATTGGAACATTCTGAAAATAAAACCGTGAGCAAACAACGCTTTGAGTTGTTTGGTTTGTGTTCAAGAGTATTTAATCAAATAATTAAACAATAGCACACAGGTTCATCCCAGTCCTGGTGATCCCATGCTCTGGACATTTTTTGTGTTTTCCCCACTCTACACACATGACCCACCCCACAAGGAGCGTGTTAATTAGTTATTAGTTAACTCAGGTGTGCTAGATCAGACAAGGTACAAAATGTGACTGGGAGCCCTTGTAATAGTATCAACCTATGAAACCAGCATATTCACCTTTATATTCACCGTGCAAGACCTGGTAGGCCACCAAAACTGTCACCATCAGATAAACAGTACTTTTAGAAAGTTCCAGTCTTGCTTCAGATCTGAAAAAATCCACGGATATTTCTGTATATCCTTCCACTGTGAGAAGACAACTCAACCCTATGAGTTTTAAAAAAAGATGTGTAGCTGACAAGAAGCTGTTACTGAGAAAAGGAAATAATAAATCCAAAGCAAATTTGCAAATCAGACAAAGAAGCTACTGGTGTTCTGAGAACAATCGTCTGGCCACGCTCGAGTCCAGACCTCAACATCACTGAATGTTTTTGGAATTACTTGGATCAAGAAAAGCAAAAAAAAAAAGTGCAGCCAACTTCTAAGACTGAACTTTGCAGGTGTGGAAAAAAATCTGAAAGCAAGTCTCCTGAAAAGAATGTATGTATCGTAAAGGTAAACACAGAAAAGTTAAGGCTGTGTAATTTTTATTAAATATGTTTTCTCTTTATTTTTCCTGACACTCAAAAATGAATAAAGTGAACTCTTACTTCTGCACAGCACTGTACCTTGTGCACAAGCATACAAACCCACAAACTATTTCTACAAAAAGATTCAGTGAATAAAATCATTAATTAAGCTTCTGCTTTGCAGCAGTTCTAGAAGTCTCAGCTACTGTGCAAAAGAGTGTCTTGATGAGCGGGCCGGGGTGCTGTGGGAGGGCCGAGGGTTTTGGCATTGTTGGAATTGTCCCAGTGTCAGGGACCTCACCACCTCCAGCTCACAATGCAGCCTAGGGCTACACCAACACAGCAAACAGGCTGCAAGATTAGGCAAAGAAACCCCGCTACAAGTAACAAAAGATGACTTCACCTTTCTCGCCATCTGCATCTCTGTGTGTGTGTTTGTGGGTGAGAGAGAGAGGGAGGGGGAGAGAGAGCCTTGGTCTGTGTGGACACAGTAATTGCATTACCTCAGCAGTCTGCAATGCTCTTTCTCTCTAAATAGGTTTCTCCATCCTTCTGCTCTGAGTCGTCATTATCCAAGTAACCAGAAATGGGCATTTGTTGCGCACACACATGCCCTCCCTCACACAAGGGCATGAGGATTTACAGGCTCCTCTGTGAGCTGTAACAAAAGGGGCTGTGGGGAGCGGCATGCCGCTACTCTGCTCTGTCCCCTCAGCACCTGTTCTCCCTCGAGACCACAGTCACATCCACCAGCTTCCTGTAGCATATGACACAGCACAATCTCCCCTGATGCAAGAGCCTGCAACTCGCTTCTAAAAGCAACTGATTTGATGAATGCTATTTTAAACTCCTGCAGTGGTCAAGACTGGAGTATGGGTAGGGCAAGCTGGTTCTAGATCAGCACTCATAGGCTGGTTCTAAGAAGACCAAAACCACATGATCACTCAATATCCAGCAGAGATTAAAGAGGCATATTTCAGTCAAGTGACCACCAAATGGTGAGAGCATGGCTTGAAATAAATGTCCTGTAGGTCAAACAGTGAGGGAAAAGGAGCACAAAATCACAGAAAGCCCTAAAAGTGTCTTCTAGGTTCAGTCGGCATGGGTGTGCTCAGTGCCCCTGAGCCATATGCCTCCATTATAGAACTTCCATTGATTTCTTCAGCCTAACAGCTGCTGGCTGATTGAAAGTGTGTAAAATTGGACAGGGCATGACTTGGCATGTCCTTCATTAGTCAATTTAATCGCCCCCGAGTGCTCGACCCTGCATTCAGATGCAAACGTGGCTCATCCGAATGATGGCACTTAAGTTGCGTGTTCTAGTGTTTAGTTGATTACTTCTTTCTTTCTTCAATTTATGTTATTAAATTACATAGTAAAAGTTGTCAGAATGGTGAGAATGTCCACTCCTCTATGTCACTCACATTAGGCAGCAGCTGAGAGGGGCAGAAGGCCAGCTTAGGGAGATCAAACAGCAAATCTGGACATGTGATAGAAGGAAGGAATTCTTGATCGCCCACAACAACTGTTACGACAAATGGAAAATTTCAATGACATTGCTTCATGAACACTAACACACTATCATGTGATATTAGAGCATTGCTGATGATACAGCATTAAAACCAGAAGTGGGCAAAGCAGCCCTAACTTCACATAAGAGTATTGCAACTTATGTGAAATGACTAAAGTAAAAGTAAAACATGCCTTTCTATAAATAAACTTGAGCAGAAGGTTCCCTACAGAACTGCACTTCTTAGCACATCCATCTATCAGCACAGGAACTGAAGTAGGTTAGCCTCTGTTCTTCTCTTTTCAGCAACCCTTTGGTCTACAATAAAATGATAAACCTCAAAAGTCAGAGGTGTGACCAATCACAAAGCAGTACAGATGCGGTCACTGATGTAACACAATCAGATTAAACATGAAAAAGGAATGAGCAGTTAAATGTTAAAGTCTAAAATGCAACCTCCAGACACCATTGCTCACAAATTGAAAGAAATGTGCTCAGAGAAGTACAAAACCAGCACAATTTTACTTTAAATACTGAATAAATATCACTGGTTATTATGTACCAGTGTTTACTTGCTACAGAACCACTGTTTTTAATACTATAAAACAAATATGCTGAAGATGTTACTAAGACGCTTATACTGTACAACAGTATAGGTTTCAACTAATTGGCAGAAAGGTCCTATAAAAGAAGAAAAAAAAAAGTTAGATGTGTCCAGAATGATGAGCAGAGCTGCCTACAGATATTCTATAATGACTGAGAAGGCAGTTTTCATACACAATGCCTTATATTTGAAGTTATCAAATCTCGAGGTAGTTAGCTTATCAATAAATTATTGTAAAAAGATGATCACAAAATATTGTGTAGAACATTTCCCAAAAAAAGCTTGAACTATTGAATAAAACATCTAAATAACTTTGGTTATTGCATTTCAGTCTACACTGTATGAGTCATTCAACAAAATACCAGCAATTATTATGAAAGTCATTCCTAACTTTTGAACAGTAGCATCTAGAGATTTCATAGTACTTGACCCACAGTGAACAAGGCATGCTTTTTCAGACATACAGAGAGAGTTCCAGACACAGACTTGGTCAGATAAAGAACATTGCCAGTGGTGGTTGTTAAGGCCAAGACTGGGATTAATCGGCCTTTGAGAAACCAGCCTTCATTGTTATGCGATACTGTATTTTAAGGAGACATATAAAAATGTCTATTGGCACTGAAGAAGCAGGCAAAGCTCCTTTGGAGGAAGTTTACTGTAAGAGTGCATTATAAGGTTGAGACTGAATGAGTTCAGATTGCTGGAGAGTTGTTATTTTTAGGTCAGCAGGTGAGCAGTGAGTGGGCAGTCTGGGACTGACATGGCCTTAAAAGTTGCACTTGACATTGCAACTGACAAACTCAGCTGACACTGTGGTCACCATATGCCTGCTGAGGACAGTGTGGAATTCCCAACAATACTCACACCCTTGTTCTGGAATCACCATTATCAGTTCTTTAGCAATGCATTGCCGGTAACCTGACCAGACCAACAATATCTCCTCTGAAAAAGAGGAAAAAATGCCTGCAAATATAGGGCTAAATTTATCACTCATGAGCATGACAAAACTGGACTGTTGTGCAATTCTGAGTTTGATCAGTGGTGGTCACACAAGTCCATACTGCCATCTAGTGGACATATGTAAAAAGCTAATTTTCCATTCTGTCTTTTTTCACATACGCTTTCTTCAAAGATTCTCAAAGACTGAAATCCAAATTAAAAGCCTCATTAAGACTGGATGGACATGGTCAGGCTTGCCCCTTTGTTCCTTAGGGAGGAAGGATGAGGGAATATTTTCCTGAAGTCCTGTAGGCCCCTGCACTGCTCAGTTTTGTGTTTTTCCTGCTCTGATTCAGCCGATTCAGCTCCCGAAGGACTGATGACGTGACTCAGGTGCAGGAAAACATGAAACCGTGCAGTGCAGGTGGACTATAGGAATGGAGTTGGGGGAAAAACTGGGTTAACAGCTTGAGCATCCAGTCCCTATGGCTGAATCAGCATAAAACCATCAAAGCACATTTGGACAGAAGAAAGAACACTCAAAATCAGACCCGCACTTCTTTGTAGGTCAACTTGTCTATTTAATATATAAAATACGGTAAAACATACGCAAAAGGGGAGGGTCATAAAGGACAAATGGATACTTTGGTACAATAACAAACACTTTTTTGTAAAAGCAGTATATAATTTGTAATAACATATCAGTGCATACTTTGTTTATGAAAATATACACAAATTGTATATCATTCTCCGAAAACAACAAAATATTTTTTTTGTTTACAACAAAACTCAAAGCAGACTAGCCGAACACAATATATTAGCTATCATTTTTCTTTTTAAACTTTTTTCTTCAATTTCTATTCTAGTTGTGTGTGGTGTATATTCTTAATGAAATTACATTTCAGTTTATTTATAATATGACTCATTCTTTGCTTGTTTTTACGCCCATGCATTGACATCTGTGTCTGATCTGAATAAATTAATCAAGTGGATATCTCTACTCCTCTATGTGTAGAGACAGTTTTGTACAATTGACTAAAAATTGCAGCATTGAACTGGTCATTCTATCAACTTGTTGAGCACTTCCCTCAGTTACCAGTAAGTATTTATATCACTACTGTCATTTTGTTTTACTTAACGAATCGTGCAATATTAGTAACACCCCTTTGAAGAAAAAAGAAACAAAAAAAAAACAAAAAAAACTGAAAAGACATTTATATAGTATTTCATATATAATAAAATCAAATTCAAATAAAATAAGATGCCTAACCTACACGAAAAAAAAAAAATAGCAGAAAATAAAAATCTCTAAATTATCATTATCATCAAAGATGATAACTATAATGGTAATGATAATCATTATAACAATTATAATAAAAACAGACAATAGAACTGTCACCAGCACAAATTAACACTAGAAAAAATTGAGATTCTCTAAACATCATCATACATGGGGGATATGAGGGGGCGAAAGTTAACTATTCACGTGACGATTGTCTTTCCTTTTGATTATGATGACTCCTACCATTACCAAGAGATCCTTTCCAGAGCTGATGAACATCACACCAAAGACACTCTTCAGAAATCAGTGAATTTGTTCAAAGCTCAGTCTTGAAGTCTACAGGTGTTCCAACATGCTGACCTGAAGGGGCTAGGATGTGTTGCACTGTTCTGTAGGAATAGTCTTTCTAAATCCTGGTCCTAGAGGAGCTCCGTATTGCACGTTTTCTTGTTTTCCTGCTCTAACTCAACTGCATCAACTCATCAGCTAAAGAGAGAGCCTGAATGCATATAAAATGACTTGAGTGTGCAAGATTGGGAGAAACTACACTGTGCAATGCAGGGGTCCTCCTTGACTCGGACTGGAAAACATTATAGATGCCTATAGTGACCGTGCCACTCTCTCCTCATGGCTCTGGCCTCCAGACTAAGCTCTCCTGCAGTCCTAAAAGCCTTCAAGGTTAAGAGTTCTAGAATGATAGAGTTCTATAGATCTGACTGCGCTGAGCAGATTTCAGGCTTGAAGCTTGCAGACAGCCACCAAAAGTGCATGCTCTCACTGACTGCCCTCAAAGCAGGTACACCCCAAATCATACAGTACTGCATCTGTATTTGTGTATGAGTAAGTTTAATCTTGGCTGGCAGAGATGGGTTACTGGTCGTGGTGGTTTTAGGCGAGACGGCTGCTTGCACTTAAAGCGTTAATCTTCCACAAGTGTAAGACAGAAGGACAGTGAGAGAAAGTGAGTGAGAGATGCTGGAGAATGGAGAAGGGGCAAGTGAGATAAAGAAAAAAAATAGACTGCCAGTGCAGGTCTCACCTGAGTGGATATGAGTGAACTATTTCAATATGTATGCTGAGAGAACAACCAAATTAAGCAAGCTCTAAGCTCAGGTTTACTCTAGTTTTGGGGAACACCTTTATAAGGAGCAAGTAAAGCATCTCATTAGATCTGACACAGCTAATCTCTTTTCCAATCATTTCATAGATAGAGCTTTGAGGGAAAATGCCATAATAGAGGCTAAAGATTTGGGATACAAATACACATACAGCACAATCAAAGTCATTTTAAAAACTTGCCATATTCTGTCCCTAGACTTTGAACAGTGACTGCTGGATCTCTAAACCCACTCTATTCTTCATTATCATTATCAAAGAGACTTCCTTCATTCTATTCACTTATGCACTACACTAATGCACCATAAAACAATTTGTGTACATCATTGTTTAAATAATAGACATTTCTCTTTTTTTGCGCTTTGAGAATTGCACATTTGCAACACGTGTCAAGTCTAATCTATTATGTTTAAAGTACAACGTTCTTTCTTTTCTTTTCTTTTACAAAAGGTGACATTTTTAGGTCTTCAATAATTGTTCACCGTCAAAACTGAGACATGAAAGATGGGGCCATAATCACACAGGAACATGAGCTCTTCTTCCCTGAATGGCACGCAATGGTCTCTGAGAGGAGGGATGGAGTGAGTCTTTAATGCAGAGCCCCATCAGACCACTTCTTTAGGCAGTCCATCGTGGACAGTCCTGCAGTTCTGCGTGAGACTGAAAGCCCTGTGGTCAAGCCAGCGTGAAGCAGAAGGAAATGGAAGCAATGGCGGGCGGCAATCCATTGATCAAAGTGATCAAGTGAGAGAGGAAATGAGGAGGGCAATGAGGCGTGGATTCTGGAGAAGTCCTCTCTGGCAAGCGCACGTATGCATGGAGGGAGGCTGGAGACTGTGATGTAGGATGAGCAGAAGAGAACCCCCCTTTTTATGAAAGACCTGACTAGTAAAGAGGGTAAAGGGTTGGTACGCTGGGACGCTGGGGGTTGATTTAAAGTGCACTCCATCAGAATAATCAGAAAAAAAAGATTCACTCCTGAACAGTCATATCCATGTCTGCGTCACTTGCTGCATCTCTACCCGGCTCGCCTGCAACATAGTAGTTTATTTACACATAGAAATAGAAAGATAGCTCCACTGAGAGTTATATCTCTGCTTCAGGCAGATCCAGCACGATGTGTATAATCATACACATATCTCTATGTACAGTCCACTTTGCCTGGCTTCTCCTCAACGCAGCATATAAAGCCAGGCTCCACTCCATATCTGGAATACCCCAGACTATTCTAGAATCCTCGCGCCACTGTGTTCAGAGTTCTAAAACTCAAGCAGAGCTCTACTCCACTGCATTTTGAGGCCAAAGCCACATCATGGTTTCATTGCACGCTCTCCAATCCTCTCCTCTCAGTACACAAGAGCCTTTACAGGAACATGTAGGGGAAACCCGGGTATTTACACACTTTGAAAGCCTACAAACCCACGGCCCTGAGCCCTTACTGGCTCAGATTGTTTCTAAACTCTTGTGGCTCCTTAAAACAACAATTTAAGAATACTTGCTTCATAAGATTAACTAACAAAAAAAACAAACAAAAACTTTGCAGCCAGACAAACAAGTAATAAATACAGAATGTGTTAGGCTGCTTCTCACGTAAACCAGCGGTAGTGACACTAATACAGCTGCCCACTCTAAAAACGTAGAGTGTTCCAGCTGAGCAATGTGTGTATACACTTGTATTTAATATCAGGACTGGATTTCAAATTGTACAAATAGGGCTACATTTCCACCTGACTACACCATACGTACAAACATACGTAATTGCGTGTACAAAAGTGACGGAATTGGAAACAACAACCAAAAAACAAAAAAAACAAAAAAAACAGAGTCACCTCTCCTACTCATGAGGAGCTACCATTAGCTCTCCACGTGAAGGTGCACTGGTGAGGGATTTGGTGCAAGTTGGTGATGAAAAGGAAAAACAAGAAAAAAACAAAACATTGAAACTGGAACTGAGCACTTGGCTGTTTACCTGTATCTCTGTCTCACTGTTTACACACATACGCACACACATATATATTATTCTCAGTCTGTCCCCAAGATCTATGTAGGCCAATGAGTTCACCTCATGGACTTAATTGCATCAAGTCACTATAGTCCTTCCCTGAAATACGCACACTGCTTATTTTGTTTTTCAAATCTTGATTAGGCTAGCTGTACATGAGAGCTTCAGACTTAACCTTTTGCATTATTTATGAGACGCAGGTCCTGATCAAATGCGATAAAACGATGCATATGGCATTATCAAACATACTGAAAGTCAATACTATAGGCAGCTGTTTGAGCAATGGTAGCAAAAAGAAGAAGAGTGTAGAGAGTCAAAAAGATAAACAGCAAACACAAGTCATCTCACACACACACACACACACACACACACACACACACAGGAAAAAGAAAACGAAAGAGAGAAAAAACCGCAAACAACAATAACATGACCTGGAAAACAGCTTCTGTGAGCGGCTATTCTACACAACACAACGAGCGGCTTCAGTTTGGTTGTCATAAACGGTTTCACCAGAACAGTACAGCTGGACTCAAAAAGGTAAAGCGTGTCAGTGCAGAGAGGACCAAGGGTGAGGACAAGGACTGAGCAGAGGTCAGTGAGGCCAGCATCCCCTTGAAGAGACCCAAACGTCCAACCCTACGTCTTGACAGAACCGTCCGGCTCCCTGTGGGTTAACTCATGTGCACATGGATTGGCGACTTTGTCCGTCTTTTTGTGTGCGTGTACATATACGCAGACCAGTATCGTGAGAGAGAGAAACAGAGGCTGAGAAAGGTTGAAAACAAGTGTGCATAAGTGTACTCATGCATGTGTGCCAGGTGCAGCTGAAAGAAGCGTGTGTCACAGGGGAGGTGGGGTGTGTGTGTGTGTGTGTGTGTGGTGTGTGTGCGCGTGTGTGTGTGTAAATGTATGTGAGTGTGAAAGAGGGTAGCTCTCTCTCATTTGCTTGTGTTTATGTGACCCAGGTATCCAGTCTCATGCGCTTGATGTTGGCTCCCTCCTGCGGTTCTGAAGAGGCCGCCTGCTCTCCAGAGGCTCGGAGAGGCCCCAGAGCAGTGGTGCTGAAATCGGGAGCTCGTGCATGGCCTCCGTCATCCCGGTCGCTGCCCTCGCATGAGCTGCCATTGCTGCTGATGCTGTCAACTGGAGAGCGGCCGGTGGGCTCCAGACGCAGCGCCCCCGGGTATTGGGTGACTGTCAACCCGGTCACTGGACCCGTTGCCACTGACGCGCCTGTAGAGCTGGGGGTGCTTCGGTCACGGTTAGGAGAAACAGGCTCAGACTTGATGCTCACGCTGGGGTTAGTGTTCACCGTCAGAGTGGCACCATGAGGGATAGGACCCACTGGCCTGAAAGAGAAAGAGGGAGGGAGGGAGAGAGAGAGAGAGAGAGAGAGAGAGAGAGAGAGAGAGAGAGAGAGAGAGAGTTTAATAATCTGTTTAAATATTACTTGTCTAACCATCATTTAGCCAACAGGAAAACAGCCTGGTGAGATTACAAACATGTAGTGCTGGCTGACACAAAGTACAACCACTGAGACGAAACCGGAGCCCATGACAACAGGTCTTGACAAAACTGCCACTTAAACAAAATACAAACTGTCCTGAATCAACAGCAGAGCCGTCCCAATGGACAAAAGCCAAGCATAATGCTGTGTGTGTGTGTGTGTGTTGTGTGCGTGTGTATGTGAGATCCTGCATACGTAGTACTCAGACATAAAGATGTTATGGAGGCAACCGGACAGCAGTTTGCACCACCCTAAGCCATGCAGTCTCTCTCTCTGTTCTCTTTCTCTCTCTCACACCAAGCCTCAACATCACTCCCTTAACCACAGAACAGGCCATCCTAAGTGTGCGGGGTGCTACAAAGGACACCTGCGAGTTTTACTCAAGAGGAAGAGAGAGGTAGAGACAGAGGAATGCAAGAAATACTTCAGCTTTATAGATTTGTACAGCTTAACTGATTACAATGCTAAGTACACCTCACTGCGCTGTTTCAACACAAAAAGCCCAATTCAGCCAAACGTGGAAACATGACAAAAACACAGGTTAGCCATCTGCAGCAGCAGGAAGAAACAGCAATAGAACAAGAAAAAAAGACAGAAAGCGAGAGAGAGAGAGAGAGAGAGAGAGAGAGAGAGAGAGAGAGAGGGAGAGAGAGAGAGAGAGAGAGAAAGCGAGAAAGAGAAAGCGAGAGAGAAAGCGAGAGAGAGGAAGAGAGAAAGAGAAAGTGAGAGCAACAGAGTGCATGAGAGAAAGAAGAGAGAGAGAGAGAGAGAGAGAGAGAGAGAGAGAGAGAGAAAAACACACTGACAGCAGTAGTAGGGAACAGGCAGACAGAGGAAATAAAATAAACAGTCGGTCAGTCATTGAGACAGACAGAGAGAGGAGGAGGAAGAGGAGTGTACAGTACCAGCTGAGCCCTTCCTCTCTGCCCAAGAGTAAGCTGGCCTGTGAGGTCACACTGCAGAGAAAAAGACAGGCGAAACACATGCTAGCACCTACTGATCAATACTCACCCCCCAGACCCCCCCGGGACAGACAGACACACACACACACACACACACACACACACAGTCTCCTACAACAACAGCTACATGGAGCTGTTCTACAACAGATGACTGTGGATGATCAGATGCTCATGCAGTAGTTATACACACACATTCCACTGAACTTTCTGCAGAAGAACATTGCACACTCAGTAACATTCACATCACCAACAAACTGACTCAAACAATACAATAACCTAAAATACAATAAAGTAACTTACAACATACTAACGTATTATCAAAAACAATATTGTAACTTGAAATCTATAACACAGTAACTTACACTCTATAGTACAACACAGTAACCTACAGCATACAACATAGTAACTTATAATCTATAATTCAATAAAATAACCTATGACCTACAATACAGTATAGGAACTTATGATCAACAATACAATACAGCAAGCCATTATCTGTAATACAATGCAGTAACCTATAACCTGTAATACAATACAGTAACCTATAATCTATAATAGCGTAGTAACTTATAACTTACCGTGACCTATAACTTGAAATATAATGCAGTAAATTATAATCTATAGTACAGCACAGTAACCTATAACCTGTAATATAATGTAATAACCTATAACCTATAATACATACAGGTTACTGCACCCTATAATACAATATGAGTTACAAAAACAATATCTCTTACATTAATTTTGTTCTGCCAATTACCACAGACAATAATTTTGATGTTTCTCTGTACTTACAACAGAACTGAAAACCCACTGATTCAAACTACATAACATAAACTCTAAACAATAACAACTGCACTCAATTAGCAACAACTATACAGGTCTTAGGATGAGGTAGTTATGAGGGAATGTATTAACATTCTGTTCTGATAAAGTTTTAGCCAGCCTTGGATCAGTACATTAAAAAGCAGTTCTGGTTACTTTCTTTAATGTTTTCTGGTATCCACACACAATCTGGCAAGAACCTATGAAAACTCTGCCCACACCACAACACTGGTAATATACTACTATACATGCTTCCCTCTGGAAAACTAATACCATCTCTAAAAGAACAAATTAACAGATTTACATCTTAATTCACAATTACTTTGGAAATTAAGAAAATGTTTTGCTTCCGGATTCCAGACGCTTCCTATCAGCTTCTATGTAAGTGCGTTTCGAGTCACTGGGTTTTCTATTGTTTCCTAAGTACCTGCAAACTTGGCAGAATTAATGTCCATGGTAATCAATCATTACAGATGCAGCAGTTCAGGTTTAAAAATGTTTAAGTATTCCTTTAAACATGTACAGACATGTAACTGAGATTTAACAGATTAAAGGAGATGATAAGGCAGATGAAGCAAAAGTTCTGCAATATCTATTAAGAGGAGCAAGAAGCCAAACAATGAAGCAATTTCTCCATCCAAAAACCACAGCAAAAAAGAACATTTGCTTTCACATACACAAACTCCAACCCTGTTGCTAGAAAGGTAAACTCTAATAGAAATGGTTTAAAAAACAAAAACCCTCTGAACCTTGCCCACAGATCACTGTAACCTGGCAAAAGGAAAATATGATTTCATAACTAGGAAAACAGCAGTGAAAAGCAGAGAGCAGCAGGAGGTTTGTGACACTTCATTAACATTTAGATTGCAGGGAGCAGGCCAAGCAGGGACACAGACCAACAAACGCTCAGAGACAGATAAAAAAACTCAAGAATTCAATTTTGTGTACATAATAGCACAGCACAACTAATGCCAAGCAAAACACTCCGTATTATAGCTGTATTATTAAAATATAATAAAAAGCACTACATAAAAAAAATACTATATGAAAGTATTATACTGATAGACTTTTTAGTGGACCTCATTTCTTTATGGCAACAAAAAAGCATCTACAACTTAAAAAACAACTTAAATAATCATGAGATTGTCACCAGATTTTCAACAGCATCATGTGTTTTGGGAGATTGTTGCAGAAAAAGTGTTATAAAGAGATTCACTAATACTCACTGATCAACAGGGGGCGCTGGACTCTCAAAGGGAGTCTTAATAGTATCTACGTCTTAATAGTATCCATGATAATTACTGACATTTTCCATAAATGACATCAAAGCTCCCTAGCATGACTTAACATCCACCTAGACAATAGCAACACACACTGATAAACAACGAGGTAACACGACAAATAGAAATCACAAAGGATCACAAAGCAATGCTCAACTCAGGCATGACTGAAGTGAGGAGTGCCGCTAACAGAATGGCCTGCTGGTCAGCAGAAGCACATTGACTTTTTTGAGGCTCAGTCTGAAGCAGTAGCTATGACGACCGGGCCCTTACTGACTGCAGACAGGACAACAGCGCATGACTGGCCAACATAGTGCGGGATTGGTTAAGACACAGTTCCCTTAGTGGCCTATTCACCTGAGGTTAGCAGCCAGACCGGAGATGCAGTTAGCCATCTCCCCGTTCTGTTTGTCTGCACCCCACATGCTGTGAACAGACGAGAGAGAGCACACACAAACATACACATACACACAGAGGGCTGGTTAGAGAAGAGATACACCCCCCCAACACACACCAAACCTATTAACAGGAGAACTCGTATGGCTAACAGTGCAGTGAGCAACAGAGTAGTGATTATCACGCACACTCTTTACCCTGCAAGAAGAAGTCAGGAACACATGGCTGAAACACCTTGAGCCTCTGCCAACCACAAAAATCTGCGTGTGCATGCGCCTACATCGCTGTTATTTAGGTCAACCACTCATGCAGAATACACAGGCAGCAGACTGTGTGCTACTGTGCCTATGTCCTTTAGCTTTATTCTGAATGACTTGTGGGTTAGCATGGTGCTACATGGCTCATTTGGGGGCAAAGCTGTCTAAAACAAAGCTGTGGTCCCTGCAACTGTAGTGTCCATTTGTGCTAAACTTCTGCAGGTAAACACTAGCATCTAGAAATAGATCTTGTGTTAAAGCTATAAACAATTATACAGCTGAGCTAGTCCTGATCTATGCCTGAAGCTATATACTCATACAATGTGTACACTGGTTGTGTTTATGGCATTAATATACTGAACACGACATGGAAAGCTATAAATGCAGGCTCGTATCCCCAAATGAAATACTGTAGCTCACAATAGCCCAGCTGCTCTGTACAGATTTAATCGTTATAGAGCAGCAATTAAGAGCATAGAAGCATTAATAAATGAGACACTAAGTCTGTCACGATCATGTAATTTTAGCTGATGATTAATTGCCACATAAATAATTGTGATTAATAAAAGGGCTGCAACAAATGCTAAAAAAATATTTGATACATTTGAAAAACCGAATACTTTTATGAACCCCCGCCATGAGCAAACAAATGCTTGTTTATGAAGCTAAATGTTAGCACGTTACCCACAGCACACAGCTGCAAGCTCTGCATACCAGATTTTTAGCTAGCTAAGATGTTAGCCAGCTGTTCAGAGCTGTAGAAAAATTATTCAGACTGCACCAGATGTTACAGCATCACAAAGCAGTTTTGAACAGCTCAAAAACTGTAATTACTCCGCAGTTTACTGACAAAAGAAGTTTTCATTTTTAAGATGGTGGTTGAGAAGATGCTGTTTTCTCTGTTCTCCTGCGCCACTTATTGCTCTTCAAACCTGTAACGGTTCAACCAGTAAGGTTGAAGACTAGCTAGGATCCCTGACTTGGCTATGAAAATAATTATTGATTATTTTTTATTACCTTGTAGCATCAAATACTATTTTTTTAATACTTTTTTTTATAGAATATTTAACTATTTGTAATCAAAATCAAAATATTCAATAGTTGCAGCCCTAATTGGCAGATCAATTTTTTTTGTTCATTGTATAAACACAATTGGCTGATTAGCTATCTTCCTTCCTAGCTGCTGATACTTAGTAGCTGCCAAAAGTCGACAGACACAGCTCAAGCTCAAATAAACAAACACTACTTTTCGTCTCCCTCTAAAGGTATTATAGCACCAATCTGTTGCAAATTTTCTAAGACCCATGATGTTTCTCAATAAATGCATTTGCTGCTTTTTTTCATTGACATGTATTTGATGCAACCCAACAAATGGTAAATAACTGCAGTCAGACTAAATGACTAAGATCTGTTTAAATAATGGTGATTGGATGATTATGTAATAATTGTGACAGGCCTACAGGACACTAAGACAAGCGTGAAGTAAACCCTATATAACCTTTGATATAAATGTGTAACTCCAGGCCAGAGTTCTAGATCCTATAATTCTGCAAGAAAGTTGCTGAAGTGAGCAGGAAGAGAAAGTAGTGACTGTGGGAACCCACTGCTGACATGCGGTTAGAGGTTAGACCTGTGCAGGTGGGATAATACAAGTATGTGTGAAAGAGAGTACTTATAAGTATGTGCACCTATACAAATGTGTGTGTTGCATGTTTATGTGGGTGTCTGTCCATGTAGAACTTACACAAGGTTACTGAGTGAAGCCAGGCTGAGCTGCTGTGGTTGCTGCTGTGGTTGCTGCTGATGCTGCTGTTGTTGTTGCTGAGGCTGTTGCTGAGATACTGATGGCTGCTGCTGTGGTTGCTGAGATACTGATGGCTGCTGCTGTTGCCAAGTAGTCACGTTGCTTGGCAACAGCGCACCCTGCGGCGTGAAGGCCTGAAGGGCTGTGAGATCTGCACTCGTCAGCTGATACTCTACAGAGGGAGAGAGCAAGGCAGAGAGAAAGAAAGAAAAATAAAGAGAGAAAGAAAGAGACAGAAAGAAAGAAAGAGAGAGAGATGCAGATTTATGCAGATGTGTTCTCTTTTTTAATTCAAAAACAGCCTTGTGCGTAGTCCTTTCTATATCTTCAGGCTAATTTAGAAGGTATTTGTAAACAAAATAAATGCAATCAAGATTCTGTCTCAAGTAGAAAGATGTTTATAAAATGGAACAATAAAACACAGATGGATGGAGAGAGATGAGAGAGACAGTTGATCGAGAGAGAGAGAGAGAGGGAAAAAAAAGGATTATAGCTGCTGAACAGAACACCATTGACACAGGGCAGTTTTTCTACTGCTAAACGTATCAGGTAAAATCTTACATGCCTTTAGCAACTTCCTGACCTGAACAGAAAAAGCAGTGGTCCAGCAGTGATCTGACTAGAGCTTTCTTGAGCTTGTATTTCCTTAACGCTCATGGTGCCCCATGCTGTGTGTATCAATGATGTCACTCCCTTACCTGTGTTATAGGCAGTTGGCATAGAGAATGGGGTCAGGAGGCTGGGCGTTGCCACGGAAACCACTGGAGTGGTGAGAGGCTGGGTCACCTGGGAGGCACCCAACCGCTGAGCATTCTGGAGAAAGGAGAGTGAGACAGACATGGAGGGCTTAACGTCAGTGCACAGGATAAAGCGCTTCACCCTTTGTGCACAGAACAGACATACAGTCTATAAGTTTACCGCCACATCAACCAAACTGCACCTACAGCTTTTCACTGATAAATGCTCACAAGTCAGCTGACTTAAGAGCTCCTGACAGTACGAATCATGCATTGTGTCAAAGGCATGCTGAAAATGCTCAATTCTCCTGAGGGTGTCGAAAGGCTGTGTTTAAAAAAAACCCCAAAAAAAACAAAAAAAAAAACACAACTTCTGAAGTGCCTTTTTTCCACTCCAGGTGTCACAAGTCCTGCATCAACCATCAAAGTGCTCCTCAGTCAAAGCAGTGTGGAGAAAGCATCTCTCTTTTTCCCTTTGTCTGTACCACATTCAGAAAGGATAAACTAAAAAGCCACTGTGAATCATGCAGACTGAAACGCATGCATTGCGCCATGATGGGTCACCTCGACAGAGACTACAGTGGAAACAAGGCAGTGTAAGCCACATTTTCACTTCTGTGGTTAACCAAGACAGACCAAAATGTAGACAAAATTCTGACTGATATCATATCAATATTCACAAGATATAAAATATCAATACCCCTAAAACCCACTCATCCTGACCCACCTTAACATGCCACATTTGCAAAATTTTAGGAAAATCATTGATACTTTTTGAAAAAGACAAGATAAATCACATAGTACTGTGCAAAAGTCAGTGACCAACCTTCATTTATTTAATTTCCAGTCAAAAGAATTATTAAGTACATGTCAGTTATATTTAGGAAATATTTCTGAGGAGATTAGATATATGATAATTCACTTGCATAAGGAAAGGAAGAGTCAAAGTAAAATAAGTAATAAAAAAACAGAAGCTTCCAAAACTAGGACAAAAAAATAATAATACTAAAAAAATAATAATACTTATGTTTGAGAGACAGAGGTCAATCAAGGCTCAACATCATTGAATCTGTTTGGGTTTACTTTGAACACGAGAAGCAGAAAATGCAACCAACTTCTAAGCCTGAACTTTGGAGGTGTGGAAAAATATCCCTGCAGATTTTTGTGAAAACTGAAAGCAAGTCTCCTTAAAAGAATGCAAGCTGCATTAAAAGCAAAGGGTGGACACAGTGAATACTGGAAAATAAATATTATATTTGGTTGTTGGTGGCTGTGCAACTTTCTCTTGAATATACATTTTCTGCTTTTTTCCGCTGATACTGAAAAATTAATAACTTGTACTTAATGCCCGTTTTGCATGGAAATTAATTAAATGAAGGGTGGACTACCAGTACTGCGGGTTAACTCTGCATCCCTGTGCACACACTCTCATCTGTGTGAAAGCATGCAAGATAGAGCTCCCTGAAGTGACTGTTTATGCTTGGTTGTTCTCTGTCTTTGATCCAGTGTGTCCGACTCGTGTATAAGCATGTGTGGGTGCACTCAACACTTATGTATGTGTACTCCATGTGCTAAACCAGTAGTGTATGGAGTATTTATCATACACTGTTATTTGGAAGTGAGACACCATTTGCAACAAATTAACACTCTTGCTGATCAATCATAGATTACACACACCATTAATCTGTTACCGATTCTGGTCAACTGTTCACCTATACCTACTTTTGTATTTCAACACCACGCTCAACTACATATTACTAACCAACATAGGCTAATCATTTGCTATTCTGTGTACCATTTCATCAACAATCTCGACAAACATCTATGTACTACATTAATATGTAAGGAACACTGATAACCATTATTTCAGCATACAACCTACAAGTTTCAGCACAAAGTGCCACAATCATCTGAAAAGCCTCTATGGTTTGTGCCAAAAAAGTCAAGCATTACAGTGAGTACACACAACAAGACAGGCATTCACAGTACAACACAACAGACATCAATTACTGACCAAACCTTCACAGCACAACAGTCTAGAAAAGGGAGTTGTATTCACCTCACTCACCAACTCCAGCTCCTCATCTGTCTGCAGGAAGCGAGGGGAGGGCGGACAGAAAACATGGATTATAACTCTCCACATACAGACACTCACACCCTTCATAAACACCAAGCACCAAAGTGCTCCAAGGGGAAACGATGTATAAATGGAGCCCCACAAAAATGTTCTAATGCATTATGCAATGCCATTAAGCCTTTGTAATAACCAACAGGGGTGTTACGGCACGTATATGAATATTCATTTCTTTCTTGATATTGTTCTGAAACTATGTGCTGTGAATCAAATATAGTATTAGTCACAGAAATACTGACTTTATGGGTTTCCACTGTTCTTTTAAAAACGGTCCTTGATATTACCAGAAGAGATAACCGCCAAGTAATAAACAAAGAGAAAAAAAACCCATGTTGCACCGAAAACCATCTGAACTTTGTGAGTATGTAAATGTATATGTCTTCTAAGAAAATTACATGCCATCAGGTGCTGGTTTCACAATTGGAGTTTGTTTAAAGACAAAACTAATAAAAAAGCTGCCATTTCTTTTTATATCACACTTCCAAATTTGTGTATTGTTACACCCTTTAAAGAGCCTACATTTTTCTTTTATTTCTTTTTCCTTGATGGTACACATACAATTTTTGTGTGGATTTATGTATGAGAAACAGTCATAATTATTTTCGCATGACCATTTTCTAACCTCTTGTTATCCCTAAGAGTTAAACAGAGTGTTTCTGTCTTTAAGACTAATATGCGTAAATTAGCTCTGTTCTGAGTCCTGTACTGCAAACCATCCAAAAGGTGTCTAAGCTGAAAAACTCCTTATAACTTCAGCGTGAACAGGATGATATTAGTAAATTAGTTTGTTTTCTGTGACATTACAAAAACTCTTTTATTTTAGAATGCAAAGTCTAACACTTCAAAATTCATAAACTTATACACTGATTATTGAAATGCTGTGATTTCATACTATTTTAAACTTTCTCAATTTCAACTGTTTTATGATAACTTATTAATTATCATCTGTGATATTTTGACACTCTCTTGTCTGGTCAGTGTGTGTGGCTTGGCTCAGTCAGGCTGTGTGTATGCTGCAGTAATTCTCACCAGCTGCATGAGGCCCTTGCTGCTTTGTGAGGTGATGACCCGGAGGTCCGGCTTACGACTGTTCACCATCTGAGGGCTGGGCGGAGGGGGAGACTTGGCCGGAACTACTTTCCCCATGCTGTTGCCGTTGGAGACAGAGAGGAGGCCTGGGGAGGCCCTGGCACTGATGTAGCCATTAGCTGCAGAGAGAGGGGGAGGAATGTGTCAATACAGGCTTGTATGGACAAAACGCACATGTCCTTAAAAAGTTTGCTTAAATAGACACAGACACACACACACCCACCTATGTACATTTGTTGCATTTTGCATCCTACCAGGAAAAACAAAGTAGCTGAATATTTGCACAGCAGCAAAACATTTTGACTGAGCCTAATACAGTTCATCCCACCATGTCGTTTGCATTTTGTAACAACACTTGCTCAGTGTTGCAAATGTAATCCCCTGTTTTCCAGGCTTATAAACCTATTATGACATAATTGGGGGATTAATGGCAAGTGCTTTTTAATCTGTGTCCGTGTGGCACAGGGCTGTGAGAGGAAACCAAAAGCAACAGACCAAACTGGCAGAGACACTAAACCTCTCACCTCCACCAAGAGACTAGAATGGATAAAACTATCAAATTGATTTCTCTGAAGTTTTGTATGAGTATCAATCATCTCTGCTGGGATCAGCAAGCTGAAAGAAGTTTTCTTTCAGCTTGCTAGAGGGCAGTGTTTCCAGTGGACAAGGAAAAGAGGGACAGACTAACCAACAGATACATGGGGGCTTTCCCATGGCTCTCAAAGCACTGAAAGTAAACAGTGCTCTCTATTCTCTCACCATGATTAAGGGACATCCAGAAACATCGGCGAGTTTAGCAGCTCTCCCTAGTCTAGCTTTATGAAACACTTGATGTATACTCTCTTTAAGGATATGACATAATTACTGGTACAAAGTCTATATCTCTATTACCATTAATGAATGTAACAATGCAGAAAATTTCGGAGACATTTTAACAAGTCAAACGAGGAAAACAATATTGGGACTTTATAGAGGACAATCACTTAAAAATTTAATAAAAATAACCCCATTAATATTTTAACAAAGCTGCCAGTACTGGCTGACAGCACTTAGGGCAAATTAATGAACTGCCCAGGGATCAACACTAGATGGTGTTTTTATTGTGTGGCAAGTCCCACTAGAGAGCCCAATCTCAACGCAACAGCAACAAAAGTGGAGCTTATGACATCATGAATGCCATGTGTTGACTGGCTGTGTCACACTTCAAATGGAAACATACTGCACACTGAGCTGCAACTCTGTGGTTGGAAGCGAGGGCTAGCGAGCTGCCCTCAGCACCAGGAAATCCAGGGCACAATGTTTCCCCAGACTTGTGGGAAAGAAGTGACATGTGCATGCAGGCATACCTGTTTATGAGTGCACAGCTCAGATATATGTATAGTATGTGTCTGTAATTTTACGCGAATGATTAGAAGTCTATCAAGGCATGTATTGGTTTTGCATGAGTTTATATGTATGAGCCCCTCTCTTGTGTCCCTCACAGTCTTCCTGCTCTCTCAGTCCCCCAACCCAGGGTCCGATTACTCCAGGCCGGGAGCGGGAATGGCAGGAATGTGGACTGACGTCAATGCTGACATTCCCTGAGCTCCTTCTCAACAGCAACAGCTGAGAATGGAGGCAGAGAAGGACCGAGGGGCAGAGAACAAGAAAGAAAGGAAAGGAAAGGAAAGGAAAGGAGGAGGGAGAGGAAGAAGAAGAAAAGAAAGAAAGAAATAAACATGAAAAAAGAAATGAACGAAAAAAAGGGGAAAAGAAAGAAAGAAAGAAAGAAAGAAAGAGAGAAAAATATAAAAGTGAAAGAAAAAAAAAGGGGAGAGAAAGAAAACGATTTTAAGAAAAAGGAAAGAAAGAAAAAAAAGGGAAAAGAAAGAAAGAAGGAAAACAAGTGGGAGTGGGAGAGTGGGAGAGAGAGATACACTGACAGCAGTAAGAAGTACATAAAGGAGAGAGGAAGCAAACCAAATCCTGTCATGTATTTTGTGTTCTAATTGGTTTCTTGGTATAACTGCAAGTTCTACTCAACCATGTAACCACCATGATCCCTTGTGCTGTTGCGACAGTCGCTACACAACAAACTGACCAGTGACCTGTGATCTCTAAAGCGTCCACTGGCCACATTTGCTCTTTGATGAGCAGAAGCGAAGGGCTTGAATCCACAGCTGTTAGAGTGTGTCAAGGCTGCCTGTGAGGAGAAGCTTTTGGCCAGGTCTGCACTGCCCCCTGGGCTGGGCTTACAGAGCAGCATAGACAAGTGAGATATGAGGAACAGCTGAGAGTGAACAGGACAGCAGAGCACGGGAGTGTGTGTGTATATATGTGGTTGGAAGTGGGGTGTAGTCCACACCATTCATGTCATTCAGATTCGTCAAATGTCATTTTGTTCACCCTGCCCCTTCCCATGATCCCCCGGGGTTGGCTGTTTACAAGCTTGGAGAGCACTGTGTGACCCTCAGCTGTTGATGACTAACAGGTGTGTGTGTGAGTGCGTGCGCGTGTGTGTGTTTGTATCTGTGAGATTGGGGTGCCCGTCCACAGCTTTCTCTGATAACAGCTCTATCATAGTGTACATGCATACAGCTGCCCCTTCTGACTTCCAATGCCTATATCTATGAAGGTCACTCACCCACTGGACTTGGACATGCTCCGTTTGAATTGTTTAGGTCACCTCCTAGAAGAGCACCTGCAAAAGAGAGAGAGAGAAAGAGAGAGAGGGAGAAATATAAGGGATTGGTAGGATTTTAAAGGAATGGTTTGGTGAAAAATCATATGATTTTCCATAAATGCACCTTAGATGTAGCCGATCAGCCAAGACATGCTTGGTGTCTAAATTCTGCTTTTGTAGTTTAGAACAGGAGCTACAAGGCTAACATTGCTAAAGAACACGAAATCAATAGTAAGCCAAATCTTTTCTGTTCATTTCCAAAATTTCTCCCCAGCTGCACAAACCACATCCAGGTCTTTATTAAAGTTGCACAGATTTGACAACGTGCAGACTACTAACTGTGAACTATAAAAATCAATAAAACTTCAAAGTGAAGCCGATGCGGTGTTGTGCCTAAAGTCATGTGTTTGCATGTCACCGAGGCACAAAAATGCTAGTATCTGTTAATCTTTGATTTACTAATTAAAATTATATTTTGGGGAGGAGTTCATTTTAAAAAATTGAGTGACTACTATCTTCTTTTGATTCATAGCTTATAGCTCTGCACTAAGCTAAAGAAGCAAAATGTGGACACCAAACAACCAGATGTAGTTAATCAGCCAAGACAAGTGAAAAATTGTGTAAGGAGCTTAAAAGAAACCATCCTTTGGCCCATTAGGCCCATTTATATTGAAGTTATAAGGACTGTTACAGCCTGGACCGCATTTCAGAGAGGCAGAGAAAAAGGTCATTTACATACTAGTCTTAGAGGCACAGTAACAAAAAAAACAGTTTAAGGGTCTTAACATGTCTTAATTCTTGGTTCTCAAGTGATAAGCAAACCCACCCACCCTTCACTCCCTCTCCTTCTCTCTCACCTGCACTCGCCGGTCTCTGCGGCAGGCCAGGAGACACTGTGTTCCTCTGCAGCTGTGGTTGCTGTGGTGACAGCAGGCGCGGATCTGTGAGCGTGGAGGTGACGAAGGAGGTGGTGACGAGGCTGCTGGGATTGCTGAAGGGGAGAGGACTCTGATTGGACACCGGCACTGTGACTGGCATGGAGAAAGTTGGTGGTGGCACTGCAGACTGAGAGAGCACAGGTAGAGAGGAGAATCAGTGATGTCACTGTCTCTGTCTCACAGACAGCTATATATGCACACAATGACACACAAAGATATACAATATGCACTACAACACACGTTTTAATTGCATGCCAGTGACTTGTGCAAACTCCCAAAAGCAGAGCATGTGCAGCCACAGAAGTGCAAGTTAATTTCATTTTATGTCACTAACATTAAAGGAGCTAGTCCTCTGTGTTGCTGCTCTCGTATAAGCTATAATTAGATATTAAATGTTTAGACTGCTTCACAACAGGACATGTCAAAATCAAGATATGCTCAAAGTTCGTTTCAGGCTCAGATTGCACAGCCAGTCTTTACACTGTTCATTTGGATTCTTACAAGCTGACGTAAAGTGTGGTTATACATTGTTTTCTGGCATGAACAGTTGTGCTGATTGGCATTCTAGCACTCTGTGATGTGTTACTGGCCACTTTCAGTACTTCTTGCGCTCAAACTGTCCAGCAGCTCTGACGAAGACCCATTTTCCCATGATCCTCTACAAAAAACAGGGCCGCTAAAATTAGAATGTGGGCCGCAATGGGCCTCTTGTGTCCTGAGAGGGACCCAGTTTAACAGAGTTTGTCTGAGTGTTCTGTTCCTCTGTCCTCTTCCTGCTTTGCTGTCCTGTCTTTCCAATAGCTTTGTTTTAATCATGTAAATAAGTGCCTGATTGTCTCTAAGTATAAACAGAAGGAAAAAGAAAAGAACTTTCTTTGATGCTTCTCAATTCATGAAAAACAGAGTACTTGTCAACAAGCTGCACAAGACTGTAACAACGTGAATTTCTGGTCACGTTTATTAAAGGCAAACTACTATGTGTAGAGTTTATTATACCATAAAAGGTTCCAGTCAAAGTTTGGACATGCTATAAACATTTGATACAAGAACAAGAGGTATCAAATATCCTATTTTCAGAGGAGCTGACAGAAAAACCTGACTGCGCTAGCTCATTGTGGCATGCTGGTGGCCTGGGGTGGGGGGCAGATAGTAGCCGTGTATTACAGCACTGCACACGAGTCAGGCGGGGGGCGTGGGGGGGATTAGTTGGGAAGGAGGTAAAGCGGGATGAAAACGGAAAGCATACAACACTGGAGAGCACCTTGGACCCAACAGGAGACTTGATACTGACAGCCAGGCAGAAGAAAATAAAATTTGATGCAACTACAGTTCCAGAACTCCCATCCAACACGAGAGTCCTAGAACATTCCGTTTCTGCATAGCTGGTTAAGCCTTTCAGAACTTTGGGTGAGATGATTCCAGAATACTCCAGTATGACTACGTGACCACAGATTTACTATAAGAGGCGAGGCAGAGCCTCTGATGAACGGGGTTGCGAGAACTTTGTGGACAATGAGACAATAGTTCCTCATCTCAACTTCCCATCAGTCATATTTCCAACAAACAAAAAATCGTATCTGACTGTAAATGACACTGGAAATGTAGCAATTTAAACAAAAATATTGAAGACGCTTTTCTGAACTGTCCTTGTGCAGGACTGTTTTCACAATTCATGTTTTCATTTGGGGTTTGATTAAAATCATCTATTTACTCCTGTTAGTTAATGTAATACATCTGACCATGAATAAAAAAAAGCAATTTATTGACATGTAATGGCTAGATGTTCTAAACACTTGCCAATACATTTCCCAGCTAATCTTTTAGTGTTTCTGCTGTTTTGAAAGATTAACAAATGTTGTGTGAAGTACTGAACCTTTAACATGATTCAGAGACCTAGAGTGACAAAGAAAACGAGAATATAGCACCTCAAAAATGGTCCGAAGGTTACAAGAGAAGTCACCTGATAGGGCTCGAACAGCCTAAGACTAGCATGTTGTGCCCAAAGCATGCAGGCTATCATTTAAGCTTCGAATTCCAAGAGATAAAAAAAATAAACCGAATGCATACATAATACCAACAGTGTTTTTTAAGTGTATCAGAGCAGGATTGAAACAGCAGATATTCAAACAAGAACTAATTAGTTCCCCAGTGAACAAGGTTGTAACACAGTTACAGTGAGGGCTATATCTGTTATGTTAACTTTTACCAAAATCCACAGAGTGCCCCAATAATAATTTCATAAGACAGTCTATGGGACCCTTTTAGTCACTGGAGGATGTCTGATGACAAGGTCTAGGTCTCCTTAAGATTTCTGTACTCTGGACAGGGGAAAAGTGATGTGTCCAAATCTATCAGGTTGTGTACCTCAGGTTTAAATCAATAAATTTCTCTTCTCCAGCATGTAATCTACCTCTAGGAACAGGACAGGAAAATTTTACCTATGCATCCCATATCAGTGAATTAAATGCCTTCAAACACCAATTAAGCAGATTTATGCAGTACTGTACTGGAAATTCCAGGCCAATTAGACAAGTCTTTATTTGTAGGGAATACACTACAAAATTATAAGTAAAAGTTATCCAGCTAAAAAAAATTCATTAAAAAGTATCCAACACACTATCCATCTTAAACACTGTGCTATTTTATGCTAGCGTGTTCTACTTTTGGCTTTCACTGTCCTTTAACAAAGCAAAGTCACTTAGTCAAGATAGCTAAAGACAGTAAGTAAAAGCATCAACAAGCAACTGCCGTGCATTTATGCTATATACAAACAAAAAAATACCTAGATAAATGTTTGTTTCTAAATAACTGTATTGCTAGTTTTACACATTGCATGTTGCTGTATGTCCCTAGTAAATGCATTCCTAAAAGAGGGATTAAGGTTTGGGTACTGTTACTTTGGGCTCATGTGCAGATTAGAATGATGAAAGAGAGAAGTGGAGAAGAGAAGAGACTAGACTGGTGCTGTATGCTTTCCTTTGCCATCTCCTGTGAATGGTGTGCTGGGTAGCCTGGTCGTCATTCTGTACAACGGATCTGAAAAATATTAATCCTTTAATCCTTTCACATATACTATGGTGGGGGACTGAGGTCCATGTCTTTAGAATGCGTCTCCTGCTCAACGGATTCTTCCTCAGCTGGTCAGACAGTGAGGCTCCTCAGACAGAGCCAAAATGCTCATTGCTCATTGCTTCATCAACATATAAAAGGGAAGTCCCAGGAGTCAGACGCTTATTCCTGGCAAACATACAGGCACTGGTCACTATGGACAAATTTCATAAAATACAGAGCCAACACAGAAACAAGGCCACAAATCATATACGGCTATGGTAGCTTTCAGGGGAGTAAAAGGGAGGAAACAAATGGTCCAAATATTGCACTTTGCTTTTAGACGACCCTCCCTGTGCCCAAGCACACACATTCAGAGGGGATTGTGGGGAATTGGAGGGGGAAGGGGGTGAAACATGGTTGGCAGGTGCTCTGTGAGTTGGTTGCCAGGCTGACAGCAGGCTCTGTGAGTTGGTTGTTGGGCCGAAAACGGTCCCCTTCACACTGGTACTCACTGACAGTCTATAGCTCTGCATCATTTTATCAAACTCCTCGTCTATCTTTTTGTACTTCTCCTCAGTACGAGGCGTGAGTGAGAAGGGCTCCTCAGGGTCCGGGCTTTCCGAATCCCGGTGCTCTTTCTTGTTCAGAGCCTTAGTTCCGAAAGAGGAACAGGAGAGAGGGAGAGAGAGAGAGAGAGAGAGAGAGAGAGAGAGAGAGAGAGGGAAGGACATTAGAACGGCAGAGGAAACAGTGATACTCACGCCATATCGTTTAAAGAGGATATCCAGTTCATCGCTCTTGCGATACTTGTCGTCCTGCAGGGGGCTCTGGTCAATCGAGTCGTCCCCGTCTGGTTCTGGGCTGTTGCAACCGTTAAAGCCTTTCTTTCTCAACGTCTTACATAGTTCAAAACAAGACAGAGAGGAAAACAAGAAGACATTTCACTTTCAATAATGAGCTCAATACATTTGACACCTCTATTTGATACTTAAGAGCCCAGCAGACTTCCTAAGTTAGCACACGAAGGTTCCATTTCATCCTACGGGCGCAAAAAGCGTATATTAAATTTAACACCATGAATTGAAATGTTCTGATGTGGAAAATATCACTGACAAAGCTGATGGGAGAAAGACAGAAGTGAAAAGAGTGCACATTGTTGGAGTTTGAGTCAGCCTGGTGTAGCTTTAGACTGGTCTTATTTTGAGAGGATTTCCTAAACAAGCTTTGCTGTAAGTAGCTTTGCTAGGGGGAGTGCAACTCAACATAAAAAAAACTCTCCCAAGGACCACCACACGCTCGTTTCTCACCATCATGAGAGTGCGAAGTCCAACAGAAACTTCTCATGAAATTCTATTAAACAATTATGCTTGATACTCAAGCATAATACTACAGTAATAGTATTCTATAGTATGGTATAGTATCATAATCCTTATACTACACATTATACAATATCATAATATAGTATAATAATTATTGCAATCCTATTGTACAAACTTATGGTGTAACACATTAGCAAAATTGTTAGGATCCCTAGATAGTCACTGGTTGTCAAAGAACAATAAATTACAGTGAATCCAAAACTATACATCATTATTCCTAAAAACAGATGCATTAGAACACGCAAGACTACTTTCTTGCATGATACCCGAGTAAAATAAGCTGAGGTGTGCAGAAATTAGTGTGCTTCAAAGGGAGGGAAAAATCTCCATCAGGCAGTGACAGGGGGGACCATCGCATTCTTGTTAATTCACACCTCCCTCTCTCTCTCTCTCTCTCACTTACGCACACACATACATTGCAGCGGTATTACTATCTTTGCAAGGACTTTGCAGTGTAACTGAACAATGCTCTGACTATACCTAAACATAACCTTAACTTCAGTAATGACAAGGAGATCTTTTGACTCTTCAGACACTTTTCAACTACAAAATGTTGGTGTTTTCATTTTTTATATCTTCATGAGGACATCTAGTCCTCACAGAGTGTTAAATACAATGCAAAACACACACACACACACACACACACACACACACACACAAAGAGGAGTGTGTCAGCTGATCAGCTTGTCTCTGGGCCCACTCCATCTGTTCACCTGTCCCTGTGCTCCTCTCCCTGCTGGCTCTCTCTTTCATGTGCCCAGCTTCTATTGTGTTGCCAGGGTAAGATTCCCCTGCAGAGCTGCACGCTCTCTGACTGGCTGAGGCTCCGCCCCTCCCCCTCTCCTGCTCCCTCCCCCTCCTTCGCTCTCCGCTCTCCCTTCCTCTATCCCTCCCACCATAAGCCCACTCTCTAGCTTCCTCTCCTACCTTCTTCTTCCATCAGCTTCTTTCTTTCTTCCTTCTTCTCCTTCATTCTTCTGCCCTTTTCAGCAGAACCCCTTTCTCTCTCTGTTTTCACATAGACCTCGCTCTCTCTTTCTGTCTGTACAGCTTTTTCCTTTCCTTTTTTCCATCTCCAAATCTAATGTTCTCTCCTCTCCCACGACTCTCTGGACTGACTCACTGCTGTCCTCTTTTGCCCTCTATTTATCCATCCCTCCATCCATCCTTCTCAAATTCCCAGTGCTTATTTTCCTTTCAGAGCCTCTCTCCCTCTTTCTCTCATGTCTATGAGGGCGGCTTGAGGGGCGGTTAGTGTGGGCTGCTGTCCGTGGAGGCAGAATGTAATGTCACGTCCCATTTGCGCTGCGTGGAGCGTGTTCAGGGCCCTGGGGCCATCCCTGGAGAACACACTCCCAGCCACGGCTTCACCGCTGCCTGCCAAACGAATAGAGACGCTAACGTGGAGATGCGCAGATTCTTCCTCCTCTCCGCCTCCTCTCTCTGCTGCCCCGCGGCTCCTTCTGAAAGGCACTTTCTACCATTACCGTGCCGATCTGTCCATGATTTATACATGGGCCTAATGGAGCCTCTCCATTGGCTGTTCTGAGTACTGTGTGTAGGGGTTATGGAGTTTAAATGAATACCATCATGGTTGAGAATAGCGTAAGTGAAGTTGGCTTTGAGCATGTAACACTTTCAATTGTACGTCTGACTCCATAAAGTTTTGGACAGAATTATTTCACCCCGCTGCCCATTTACCACGTCCATAGAAAGGCCACTACACTGGGAAGAACCAATACAATTCTATATCTCAATATTTTCCAAATGTACCACCAAATCAGATGACATTCAAGTAATAATGCTTCCTGAGTACTGCTATGTTAGGTTTTTTAAGATATGCTAGAAGAATGTCTTAAAAACATGACACATTTTGTTTTAATCTTACTGTTCTGTCCTGCTTTTTGTAATTATACCAAAGGGAAACTCTGTCCAAAATAAAAAAAATTACCCATTGCAGCACTGCAAACATGCTGCAGTTGTACAGTGGTCTACAGAGTGAGACTTTCTGGTTTGAAGTCTGTGAATACCCACTTCTGATGATGTAGCTTCAAGGTGGGAGGAACTGGTTTTCATTAGTTGGTGAACGTAGAAGGAAGGATTGAGCATTGAGTACAAAACTTTTTTACTGACATATAACACTCTAAATGGCCTCACCCCTCAGTACCTGAGTCTCTTACTATGAACCATCATGCTTACTTATATCACAAGGTGCCGACTTACTATTCAGACCTAGAATTAATTAAGTTACATCAGGGAATAGAGTCTTTTCATTCAAAACCCCCCAGCTTTGGAATAACCTTCCAGTCAGTGTTTGGGACTCAAGACACAGCCCAAGTCTTTAGATCTAGGCTAAATACCTACTTGTTTAGTCAGGCTTTTGGTAATTAATTTTCCCGTTAGATAAAAAGGTACAAATATGGGGGTTCATGGCCATTGAGTATTATGGTAAACTGGGAGTGTTGCTGCTGTCGTCTCACAGCTCTCACGTGTTCACTCAAGTTTGTTGACAGCGGAGCAGAGGGGCACTGACATCTCAGGAAGCCCTTATGTCTTTGTGACGTTCTGACTCTTCCCTTTTGGTTAGGCTGTAATAACGACCTGCCGGAGTCTCTGCTGCACTCTGTTCACACTGTATACTGTCATCAGTCTCTCTTAACACAACTAACTGCCTGTGTTTTTCTTTGCTCAACTGAACAAATGCCCATCCTGTGCAGTCTGATGCTGTTGCTTCATCTGCCTTGATTGGGTGCCCACTGCCCGGCCACCTTTTGGACCAGTCTGACCATGATGGAGCTTCCTGATGTACTACACTGTGCAAACCTCACTTGCATGAACTAGCCTTCCTGATGATACCTGCTGCTGCACAGACTCGAACTATTTAATCATAGCCATTGCTTCAACTGCTTTTCCTCTTTTCTGTATTTTAATATTTTATACTAATTGTAAGACCTTATTCTCTGCTCATCTACTGCTTGTGTGTTATTGTTTTGTTATCCGGTGTTGACCAGGGGAGGATGGGTTCCCCTTTTGAGTCTTGGTTCCTCTCAAGGTTTCTTCCTCTTGTTCTTCCTTTTCCTTGCCACTGTCGCCATTGGCTTGCTCAAGGGGACTTGGACTTGGATTTTTCTGTAAAGCTGCTTTGTCTCCAAATCATCATTGCAATGGAGAGACTGGATTACTCAAACAACAGAAATAACGTGTTAGATGAGGTGGATAACAAGCTAAAAGTTAAAGTTAACAATGCAAACTACCTGTTATCTACATACCTTATCTTAGTTTGGCCAAAAGGCTAAAAAAAAAAACAAACTTGTGTCTGGTGTCCATTTTGTGCTGAACAAAGACAGAATCACTGTTTACTTTAGGATTTTGTTGCACCAATGCTAGCTTGGTTGTATTTATTAGCCTATAGTTCAGTAGCTAAGCTAGCAGTTAAGAATGGGTGACAACAGGGATTCCCAAGGGCTATGTGATGTATTTGTGCAGTGCATGCTGGATACTGTAGTGAGAGAACGTTGACTGAAAATATGCAAACTATACAACAACCAAGAATTCTGTGAGGCTGAGGGATATAATGGTCACAAAATACTGTGTAAAATGACAAATAACATATTCAATTCCAGTTTTCGGCCTGCATTACATTTTAAAGACAGAAACTAGATTTCCAGAAAGGAAGTTTACTATTTCTTTCAGTGATCATGTATTTTAATTGTTTTTCAAAGCAGTCTGAAGCATCTGGCAAATCACATTCACTGCAAGTACGTTATATATAAATATAGTACTGGGAAAGCTAAAAATTAACATTATTATGTGACACTGGTACTGGTATAGATACCGGCATTAAATAAAATGTTCCCATATGTAGAAATTGATGGAAGGTAGAGCTACGTCCAGTTGTATCTGATCAGAAAACAAATTTGATTGGAAAGCCATCGTGCTGTTTGTCCGTTGGCCAAGGAGGGTCATGGGAGCTTGCCCTTTCAAGCCCTATGCAGATTATGCAGGGATGTGACAAATCTTAAATGGGGAGGGGGAGATCTGGTTGACATGGTAAAGTTGGATTAGCCTTTAGGGAGCATGGCAGGGACAACGACGGGGGGCTTTTACTCTAAACCCCCCCTCCTCACCCATGATCATGCAAAATCAATGGAAAACTGTGTTGAGCCCCAGACCAGAGCCAGTGGCTAGCTACTGGCAGAGAGTGACAAATGATTAAAAGGCACTAAATGGGAGTCAGTGACTCCAGGGAATGAACTGCTGTACTACTTTAACCCCAACCCTCGCAGCGCACTGCAGGACTTCCCCTAACTAGGAGTGGGAATCCAGGCAACAAGAAAATCTTTAAGTCCCCTCAGCCCTCTCCACTGAGCCGCTTAGGAAAAGGGCATCCCTCAGTCTACCCCCACCTCTCTTCCTCTCTCGTTTCCTTGCTCTATTCCTTTTCTTCTTCCCTCCGCTCACTCCATCACTCCATCTTTATATATATCTTGATCTCCCTCACTCTCGTGTCCCCTCTCTCTCTCATTGGAGGCTGCAGTGAAGCAGATTAACATGCTCTGGCAGGAGATGCGGGCAGGCCACACACACAGCACATGCAGCTCAGACAGAGACAGAGAGAGAGAGAGAGAGAAAGAGAGAGAGAGAGAGAGAGCACATACATATGCATGGCTGCTCAGTCATGCAGCAGTGTGAAGGCATGCCTGCCCGCATGTGCGTGAATGTTTTGTGTGTGCAGAGCACAATATATGGAGGGGGAAGGGGTATGTCTCTCTCTTCAGGCGAACAACATGTGCACATCAGTGCTCCATAATTTATACAGAAAGCATTTCTTACAGAGATAATCCTACTCAGGCAAAGCTGCAAACTAGCAACTCTCACAGCATAGTGTCAATATATACCATCTATACTGATCATGGATGTAAATGATTAACCAATTAACCAGTAACCTACACCTAAATAAATGTTTGACCAATGCTATCGGTTAATAATAAACAACAGAATAGTCAGGTTTATCAAGTTGAGGAACGTTTCTGAACAGTACACAAAAAAATTAAGTGCGCAGCTACAAAATAGCAGTGTTCGGGACCACTTTTCAAGAAAATAGTATAAATAAATCATCTGTAACTGACAGTCAGATAATTATTTCACGCATATTCTTGAAGCGGAAGTGCGAAGCAACGACATAGTGGAAGTAATGAGGTACACTGAGCCTAAGTTAGCCCTTCTCATGGCTTTTCTGTTTGTTTAACTTGGGTTAGTAATGGGTGATTAAAAACAACTTCAGAACTGTAGTATTTAACTTTCAGTAGCCCATTATTTTGTTTAGCATGTTTAATGTGGTTAATGGTTAAATGACTATGGATGACGATCAGTTAGCAATCAAAAGAATTCAGCAAAATACTAATCAAATTTGCACTAATACTCAAGGACAGCAAATACTTAGTTAACTGCAATGCACAGAATTTGCAATTTAAAATACATAAAAAGAACAAGATTCCTTTCTGGAAATCTACAATGTCGCGTGATGTTGTGTAATGTTTGCTTTGGTGTCATTTTACAAGAAGCAGAACAGAACAAAACAAGCGACGTCAGGTTTGCAAGACTCAGAAAGCATGAGCACTCAGAAAGCATGAACTCCTGAACATCTTTCATTTTATTCATGCAAGCTTAATCATAACCTAATACAGTGATACTGCAACATATTTGGAAAATGTTGTGACACTGAATTTTAATCAATATCCGCCAGCACCATCTGAGTGCATGGATCTCTACATGCTGATCAGCACCTTTACTGTGCCATCCAAGTCTAGCATTTCTGTGTGTGGATGAGAAAGAGAAAACAGTGTCTTGTGTTTTAAGGGTGCATGCAGAGTGGCACTGTCCTGCACAGGAAACATCCTCATCAGGCTCTGATGCTGGAAGTCAGGCCCAAGTGGGGCTCCTACAATTGCATACTGCATCTCAATATTACATGAGGCGGCCTTCCGGCCCACTGAACACTGAAGCACGCACTCATGCACTCACGCACGCACGCACGCACGCACACACACACACACACACACACACACACACACACAGAGCAGCCCAGCCAGCCTTGAGCTGATGTGGCCTGCAGCAGCCCAACGCCCCTACCACAACACACACACACTCACTCACTCTCTTTTCCTCTCTCTCTCTCTATCACACACACAAATACAAACAAGCACTCACAGACACACACTTGGGCCATCTGCAGCTGCAGCCAATAGAAAGCATGCACTTCTACTAATGTGGCCTTCTGTGACAACGAGAACGATACACACAAACACACACACACAGCTGGTTTCTCACCATCACACACTTTTCTGACACAAACTACAAGTGCTCTGTTCCTCATATCTGTGAAGATTCTTTAGCACCTTATGCTTCCCTTTCAGTCTTATTTCATAATTTAAGAGGTATGCATTTGTTCTTAAAAATAAAGGTTCCTAAACAGTTCTATTTTTGTTCTAGGAAAAATAATTCTAAGAAAAATCTAACTGGTATAGAAGCTTCATGTTATGTGAGGGTTCTTGAAATTTTTATATACATAAGCATATTGTGATGTAAATTTTATGTGCGACACAATACTGTCATATTACCCTTAATTGAAAGGCTTTTCAGGGAACTAAAAGAAGTTCTTCTACTACTGTGACATACCACATTGATACTGACAAGACAAATGATTTTATCCTTGTCCTCTGAGAGAAGGTGTGAAAACTGGTGGTGTGGAAATCATACATGGGTGTGCAAAATTACAGACAAGGAAGCAGTGGATGGCGATGCCTTTTGAGAGCTACAGAGGTACATTAAGCCAAAGCACCGATCATGATGTTTATATTCGTTATAACTTGGGCCAGTTATGGTGGTAAATATAGTTTTAGAACATTTAAATTTAGACCTTTCAATAGCCATCATTATATACTCCAGTCATTTCATCAACAGTTTTGGTTTTAGTCATATAACAAGGAACTTATTATAGCGCACCATCGTTTTTTTTTTTTAACAAAACTCGGTTCTTACATAGGGTCTCATATACACACTTATGCCTGACCCCACCTATCAGTATTGCGTTCCACAGTCCATGAAAGGAACACTTTTAAATATATTATTAATATTTCACAGAATTCAGCTGTTGTGTGCGCTCCAAAGCATGCATGCAATATTTTACTACAGCTTCAAGCGAAGGTAAGCCAGTCAGCTTATTGATCTGCAAGTTTCTGTTTTGTAAGTGATATTTTGATGCATTGCATCCTTAATTTTAGGGCTTTCGGTTATCAATTAATCACCAACTAATGGTGGTTGGTCATTGGTAAAAAGAATTTACAATCTTATTTGGCACCTCTATTTTTAAGAGTGTACCTCTGAACCACTATGTTAGTTGCATTAGATACAGGATGGGCTGTTTTTGTATATACACGTGTAAGTGTGTGTGTGTGTGTGTGCGTGTGTGTGTGTGGAGCTCTCTGTCTCAGGCCAAGGCCAGGGGGAGCCAGAAGGTCCAGCTGTCCCTACCTCTGCTGTCCCACCATCTTCCAGGCAGGCAGCCAGTGGCATATAGAGATCCATAAGCCTCTAAACCTCCCCTACACCAGCAGCAAGCTGCTTTCTGGCCCTAGCCCACAGGAGGCCATGCCCCCCCACCTTTAACTCTCACTCTTTCTCTCCTGTCCTCAGCAGCAATCATCACAGCAGAATTGAGCTGTATTTGAAGTGTATAAGCTAACTCACAGTGCAGAACTAAAAACAATACACCATCCAACTTATATCAACAATATAACAAAAGACTGAGCAGATCTACAATAGAAATAAATAAATACATTTCTGTTGTTGATCTAGAAATTTCTATTGTGAACAATAAACTAAAGTCTGTACTTCCTGTTCCTTTCTAAACCAAGGAGGATTTAACTTTTATGGTCATCATTAGAATGCAAAGACCAGAAAAAGCTACCACTAAGGTGGACATTTAAAGAATTTCATTATTTCGTAAAATTGTTAGAGTCCAGGGCTGTAGATGTCTGTATTACCTCTATAATGTCTGCATTGGTCCTGCTTTCATGCGGCTCATTGTACTCGGTGTACTTGAGCAGCACTTTGTCCATGTCGGTGCTGGCATACTGGAAGAGCTTGTTGGAGTGGTTGAAGATGATGAGGGCGATCTCGCAGTCACACAACACACTCAGCTCATAAGCCTTTTTCATCAGACCAAACTTCCTTTTGGTGAACGTGACCTGCCGGAGACACGCAAGAGAGTACGGGTGAGAAAGAACAAATTAAAGGACACAAAATGAAGTCAAATATTTAAACAAATGCCTTTTTTTTTTTATTTCAGCAGGCCTAGTCCACAAACAATCACTAAAAATAAAAGCAGTGTCAAAGTATCTGAACCAAAAGAAGCATTAGAAGAATCCTTCCGAAGTAAATAAGCCTGTCACAATCATAATATTTTAGCTGATTATTTTTCAAATAATTGTGATGAGAGATTTAAATAATCTTTTTTTGATTTTTATGCAGCCGATTAGTTAACTTGCTTCCCAGCTATCTTTGCAGTGAACATTAAGTATTAGGTTGTTCTGACATGAAATAATAAACTGCCCTGTTGTGTGTCAAGTGTCCAGGTACAAAGAATAATGTGTAAAGTCAAACAAACCTTACATTTTTCTCTCGAGACTGTCAAAGTATGAGCAGACATGTTTTCTGCAAGCATATGTGCTAAAATTAATGTTAGCTAATCGGTTAATTGGTTATGGCACTAATTAAAGGTTAGAACTTTTTTGTTGACCCATAACTTGTCCCAGGGAACATGTACCCTGCTTTCTTTTATTTACATTTATTTATTTCAAGCCAGATGATGGGATTCATTTCCCAATCTTACTGTTGTGATACAATATGGTTTGAAACGACTATTAAATAAAATAATTTCAGTCAGCTTAAATAACTGCGATCATGTCAAATAACTGTGATTAGGCGATTTGTAACAATTGTGACAGGCCTAAAAATAAACAAATATTTGTTTATCTACATTTTACATAAGCCTTTAAATGAGAATTTTAACTCTAAGAGAGTTCTTCTGAAAAAAGCTTGCCAATTTGATTAATCTCTGTAGCAAGTCTAAACCCCTACCATGTTATACTGATGCATCTCTGTGGAAAACAACAAGCCTGTGCCTTCTGTTTCTCTTTTATAACTTGTGTTCCCCGCTGGCACAAATCAAATTATTTCAGAGTTGTTTCCATAGGCACTAAAACGGCCCTCTTCCAATCACACTTTCTCTATTAGGACCTCCACATAAACACAGACACAGACACACACACAGAGACAGACATGCAGACACAGACAGACAGACACAAACACCTGTGTTGACCACAATATATCTGCTGACATACAGCACCCTTCTGAGAGGACTGAACACAAAGCAATACTCATAACAATATTCTTCCAAAACAATAACGCATGAGCCCAGAAATAATCAGAAATAAAAAGGTAACCTACAATATGCCTCATATGGGATATTCTATTGTATCTTCAATCCAAACTTTCTGAAGCAACAATATTGCAGGGTTAGATATAAAATTTGCAGTGGTCATACAGACCCCTAGGCCAATTAAATTTGTGGCCAACATTAAGAATTTATGGCAAGAATTACAGAAACATGTTTATCGGACATACATTGTACATAAAATTAACAAATATGCTTCAGCATCAAAAAATAATCAGGTGCTTTTTTGTCTTTTGCTACAGTCCCAGTCCATTTTTCATTCCCAGTCAAACCAGGGCCATGTTTTTGAAATCTTTACGAATGCTGTGGCTATACTTTTAAATTTAGTGTCTCCAGCCAAGCAAATTCTTTCTTCCACTGAACTCTCAAGTTAGGTTTTTTTTTGGCAGTCATCATTGTTATCCAATATATTTTTTACTGTCTGCACTGCCATATTTTAATAACCCAGCCATTGCTGGAGGCTATGAAGAAATGCTACAAAGAAGTTGTCCCTTCCTGTCACGTTAGCTATCTCTATGGTAATGCTAATGTTATAGTTGGCAAATTCTGACAAAATCTGATTCTGATGCAGTTATTTTCACATCTGCTCTGGATCTAGCACAGGAACGTGAAATGTAGTTGTTTTGTTATTAATGGTGGGTATTTATCAATGTGGGAAATTTCAGTTGGTCTGGTGGTTTGTTAAAGTAGAAAAAAAAGTGTCACTTGGGCTACAGTTTGCAGTGGGCTTTTGGGTGGTTCTTGGCAAATGCAGAAAACAAATCTCTTTCTAATAAAACAAGATGGCTATATGCGCATTTTGATGATGTGAGAATTACATTCATTTTCCAGAACAAAAGAAGACATAGTTCATTATCAAATAAGATTATTTCTTCTTTAACCAACATGAAATTCAGCACAAACAAGCACAATGTAATTGGCATCAAAAATAGACTTGCAGGTAACCAATGGCAACATGAGAAGTTCTGCGAGAAGATACATGTGCACTTGTAGCAGGAGGTAGAAACACCAACCTGGTCCTTCTTGCTTCTTCCAATCCAATTAACCTTGGGGCCGTGTGCTTGTCTACTGACCTTTACACAACTCACACTATGAGCACACACACTCACCTGCTGCTAGCTGTGGCAGAGAGGTGTTAGATTTTAGTGTTCCTCGCTAAAATCTCTCCACAGATGCCTCTACATACGCCTCTGTGAGTTTGTTAATGCCTTTACTCAGAGTCTAATACTAATTAAAGCAAAAAAGAAGAGACAGTACATGTACTCTGTCACACAGTGAACAACTGAAGAGGCAAGAATGTTGTTTTACACAAAAAAGAAAGGGGTAATTATTATTCGTGATTTTTGATTATTTAGAAGAACACAAAGTATCCTTTCATGTATTTTCGTGTGGGTTGATACACTATAAGAAAATGTTTTAATTAACTCATGGACTCCTGGATAAATAAAATAAGCAGAACATCTTGATTCATTCAAAGAGCCTGTTATGTACACTGGAGAGCGAATAGTTGCAGAGGTCCACCTGAGGCAGAGAGGAGCTGACTAAGAGCTAAAAGCAGGCCAGGTTTGTGTGGATGGGTATGGACACCTAGGCAAGGCAGAATGTCACTGTGTGATTCACTATGACCTGAAAAGTCTGCTGGGACCCCGAAAACACAGATTCTATATTCCACACTGCAATTTTTTAGGGAGCTTACAAGAAAAAATTAAATAAAGATTTCAGTTTTCTAAAGCACAGTCTGGTGGCAAAACAGGTGAAACTGCAACAATGACAAAAGATACTCCTATGAATTAAATAGATGGCTGGGAATCTTAAGTGAGATTTTGCTTTTAATCTGTTAAAGCACAATTAATCACTGTAAAAACAAAGCAAAGAGAGAGGAATGAGAGAAAAAAAAGAAAGAAAGAAAGAAAGAAATAGGAAGGAAGAATAAAACACAGATAAAAAAAGAGAAAGAAAATGAGAAGAAGAAAGAAAAAAATGAGAGGAGGAAAGCAAAAAGAAGAAAGAAGTCAAGAGATACTCAAAAAAAGAGAGAGGAACAAGGAAAAAGAGGCAGAACCAAAACAAAAAGATAGCAACAGAACAAAACAAGGACAGAAAGAGAGAAAGAAAGAGAAAGAAAGAAAGAAACAAAGACAGAAAGAAAGGAAGCGATAGAAAGGAAGAATAAAACATATAAAGAAAGAAACAAACATAAGAAAGGAAGAGAGAAAGAAAAAAGAAGGAAAGAGAGAGAGAGAGGTAGACACACACACACACACACCCACAACTGTGCTCAGTTTCTCACCTGTCTGTTCCGTTCGTCTGTGATTCGCTGGATCTGGATCTTTTTCCTCCCCATGTCTGCTCTGATTGGCTGGGCAGGAGTGGGGGCAGGGTGGGGCTCGTGATGAGATCAGAGGTCAGAGGTCGTGCCTGTCCTGAGGAGGGTACAGGACCTCAAACAGCAGCGAGGCACGTGTCCTTCTCTCTCTCTCTCTCTCTCTCTCTCTCTCTCTCTCTCTCTCACACCCACACACACACACTGTCCTTCGCTCTCCCTGCTCCACCTGAAGCAGCTGGACTTTCGGCTCTCCCCCCACAGAGAAAAACAGAAGGAAGGAAGGAGCAAGGCCTCCAGGCAGGGCCTTCAGATCATGATACGTTCAGGCTGCAAGTCATCCACTCAGAGTTCTTAATGTGATCCAGCCCCACCCCAAAAAATTTCTGACGATGATGGTGATGATGATGATGATGATGATGAGTTATATACCTACAAAACAGAAGAGCAAACAAGTTAGCCCAATAAACAAACTCTGTTAATGCCATGTAACATAAAACATCATTTATTCTTATTAAAATCATTTATTTCAACCCATTATAGTCCATATCTGAAATTTCCTTTTCTTTGTTTCACAAAGCAGAGCTTGCCTGAGCACAGATCTAAATACATTTTACAAACTGATCAAACCACATGACAAGAAAGTGAGTTTATCACTTTTCATGTTAAATTTAGACTTTGTCACATGACACTACAGATTTTTCACAAAATACAACACACTCAACTCATTCGCTTTTATTCCAAATTTGACAGAGAATAAAAATACACATGAAATAAGTTAAGTAAGTAAGTAAGTAAGCAAGCATCTGTACAGATGTTCGTCCAAGGTGTCCAAAATCATCCAAATTCTATGGCATTTCCCATTTTTGTAAAAAATTGAGCTTTCGGACCTAAATGTATTAACATTTTATTTTTTAATTAAAATATGGGTCAAGAATTATGTTGTCTACATTGGGCTTGTAACATTTCACAAATAAATAAGTAGCTAAATAAATACCTAAATAAGTGGTTTGGGGAAAAAATCTAAATGAAAGAGCAAAGAAAAAGTATCAGAGCATCCTGAATGCGAAGCATATTTAATTGACTATTAAGCAAATAGAGACTGAGAGACTGTTCTCCAGACACAGGCCTTTCTAGCAGAAACTGCTCTGGAGTGCAGAACAAGCAGCGGTAACAGATTAGTGGGGAACACCCCTCTGGAGGTCTGTGTTCCCCCTGAGACCAGAGAGCGGCTCGTGCGCTATAAGGCCTTCAGGGCAGTCGGAGCTGAGCTGTGCTGTGTCAGCTTCATTGGAGACATCACAGCCACTGATCCTTGCTGGCCTGCGGCAAGCTGCTGCAACCCCAACTTAACACGCTGCATGTGATTACAAATCGAACCAACAGGCAAGCACGGCAAACACCCATCTGCAGCCCAGCTCAGTCTGAAGACTGCCTCTGCTGAAAACAGCAGGAGTGCAAACCCATTCCACAGCATTTCTATTACAATTTAGGAATCATCCCCTTGAGGCAAATGCTTACGAGACTAAAATGTAAAATCTAATAATCATGCTTTTCAGTTTTATCCTACATGCACTAAGTACGGGGGGTAGGAGGTGGAGGGTGATTAGCTGTTTAAATGATATACCGCAGTATAAAAAACCTCTGATAATCACATGGTTTCAAATTTCAATAAATTTGATCATTGTGTTTAATCACCATGTTTTAAAAGTCATGGCGGAAGTAAACAGCCTACTGCTACAGTGTCTTTCCAAAACATTAATACCAGTATAACAGCAGAGTAGAAGTCCTGGTGATAACATTTATGATGGATTTAACATTTATGTCAATGGATGATTTTCCTATTATTACAAAGTGATACAAGAGGCGTTTACAGTTTGTATCAGTGATTTTTAAAGATTTTTTTAGTGTGCTTGAACAAAAGTATATTCATTTTGGTCACTGTTGTTATGACAGGAAGTTTCCACACTTCTAATAATAATCATCCTGTCATCTCCCACTGGCTGGTGAGCATAGACACGGTGCACACATTTGTGTACCCAGGGTCAGCGTAAAAGAAAGCAAAGTCAAAACAGCAGCGAGCATGGATGGCTGTGTGAGGGAGCCAGACGTCAGCAACATACCCAAGTCTGAATGAATGGAAGCATGAATGAGCTTAATGCAACCTCAGAATAGCCATGTGGGCTACGATAATTTTAAAACCTGCTATAACTATCTCCGCCACAAAAAAGCCTTAAAATAGAGTTCTATATTTACACACAAATCCAGACTGCATACACACCCGCATGACTGGAGCTGAAAGCAGACTCACTACTGCAGACGGATGGCATCAAGGAAGCAGTAGCCTACTTCCTCACCATCAATTCAAAGGCTGTTATCTAAAGCCAGACAGGGGAAGCCCAGATAAAACTTTTGATCAGTTCTACAATTTGCAGCCCTCAGACCTGTGCAGCAGTTTTGAATTTTTTTTCAATAATAATGATAATAATAATAATAATAATAATAATAATAATAATAATTTTATTTGTAAAGCACTTTTCATACTGGTGGCAGCTCAAAGTGCTTTACAGACAGGTGATAATGTTCTACAGCAAAAGACAAGATGATGACAGATCAAGTTAAAAAAATATATTTAAAAGACGTAGAATTTTAATTGATCACTACTTTACAGATACGTTTTCAAATGTTTCTTTAACGTGTAAACTGAGCCTGACTGTCTAATAAAAGGTGGAATTCAGTTACACAGTTTAGAAGCATAATAACTAAATGATGCCTCTCCACATTGTCTGTATTTTACGGAAGGTGTTTGCAGAAGGCCAGTATCTGCAGATCTAGGATCACGTGTTGAAACATAATCAGACAGATATTCTATGAGATACACAAGTGCTAGGTCATTTAGAGCCTTCACAACTAGGAGCAGAATTTTAAAATCTATCGTAAATGGTAAAGGTAGCAAGTGCAGTTCTTTCAAAACGAGAGTGATATGATCTCTCTTTTTTTTAGGATGCGCGCTGCTGCATTTTGTATGAGTTGTAAGGGATGTATTGTTTTCTTAGGGAGCCCAGTAAGAAGAGCATTACAGTAATCAATTCTGCTCGTAACAAATGCATTAACAACGTTCTCTGCATCACTCTGAAACACACAGTCCAAATTTTAGCAAGATTTCTCAAATGATTAAAAAAAAAAGCTACTTTCGTAAGCGTGTTTTTTCAGTTTTTCCGTTATTAAGTTATTACAGATTTTGAGACATCCACTGAGAAATATCTGACACACAGCTGGCAACCTGTCTACAGAATCTTGATCAAAAGGAACTGAAATATATAACTGCGTGTCATTAGCACAGCTATTAGGAAAATTAATATTATGTTTCCCAATGACATCACCTAGAGCTAACATGTACAAAGAGAAGAGCAAGTGTCCTAAAACTGAACGCTGTGGGACTCCACAGAAACAAATAATGAAACCAGAGGAATCACAAATTGTCCATGCATGAAATATGATTTAAACCTTTCTAAAACTGTGCCTGAGAGGCCTACCCACTAGTCAAGGCGGTGTATTAGAGTCTTGTGATCGACAGCATCAAAAGCTACACTAAAATTCAATAAGACCAAAATACAAGAATTTTTTGCATCAGCGCTAAGCCTGAGGTCATTCAAAACACGAACCAATGCTGTCTCAGTACTATGGTTAGAATGAAAACCTAACTGAAGCTTCTCTTACAACTTGTTTGATATTAGATATGCACATTTACTTAAAATAAAGATTAGAAACTGGTCTAAAATTATTTACTACAGAAGGATCCATGCTGCTCTTTTTTTAGTAGGGGCGTCACCAATTTTACAGTTTACAATAGTTAGGACATAATTTTGGACACAAAAATCATCTTAAGGAATGAAGTAGGAACAGGGTCAAAAAAAGACTTTGGTATTATCTTTGTGTAAGAGAGGTACGACTCTGGATATTTTCATCACATTATTGTAGGAGGAGATCCACTATTTGAAAATATCGTAAGGTACGTGCAGTTTAGTCTTCCTCCGTAAGCGCTCTGATTTACATCAATTTCTTATGAGCTGATGCATTTCCTCATTCATCCACAGATTTTATGAGCTTGTCTTTCTTCCATTTGACTGGAGCGAGAACGTCAAGTTTCCTTTAATCTAACATTTAAATCAGAGACCAGATCATTACAGGAGTTAAAGCCGTGTTTGTTGCACTTATCTAAATATTTTTAAACTTCTCAATGGTTTGAGTTAATGTAACGCTTTATAAGCACAAATGCTAATTTATATAAATATGACAGTACAATGTGTACTGGGGTGACAACTATGCGAGAGGTGATGGCAGTATAGCAGAAGCAAGAAGTGATCTAGAAAATGAGGGAACAAGGAGCTTTGCTTAGCTGACTAATATGTTAAAATATATATATTTACATATATATATATATACACATATATTTTTATGGCATATATAATATAAACAATTGTGATTAACAATTTGATTGCCCTTTTTTGTTCACTGTATGTGACTACTACGCACAAACTAAAACAAATTGATTATATATCTTGCTTCCTAGGTGTTGATACTAGGTCTCAAGTGAGGAGAGACATAGGTTGAGCTCAAATAAACAAATATTCTCCACTGCCCTCTAAAATGTGTTATTAACAAACATCAAATAAAAAAAAATACTCACTGTTCCCTTCTAAACATGTAATCAGAACATTTTCTGTTTTTCTTGCTTTAAGATTTGCTTGTCTCAACCTAACGGATGAAAATCGACCTGATGAACATTCTTTTTAAACGACTTTGATTCCAAAAAAATGGGATACTGTGTAAAATTTAAATCATAACAGAACGCAATGATGTGTAAATTATTTAAACCTTATATTTATTTAAAATAGTACAAAGACAGCATATCAAATATTGAAACTGAGAAATTTTATTGGTTTTTGAAAAACATATGCCCATTTTGAATCTCATGTCTGCAACATGTTTCAAAAAAGTTGGGACAGGGGCATGTTTACCTCTGTGTTTCATCACTTCTTTTAACAACACTCTGTAAGCGTTTGGGACCTGAGGAGACCGACTGCTGTAGTTTTGAAAGTGAAATGTTTTCCCATTCTTGCTGGATACAGGATTTCAGCTGCTCAACAGTTCGGGGTCTCCTTTGTCATATTTTTCACTCCATAATGCAGCAAATGTTTTCACCTGTTGGGTGACATGTCTGAACAGCAGGCAGGCTGGACTCTTTCACTGCAGAGTCGTGCTGTTGTAACACGTGCAGAATGTGGTTTGCTGAAATAAGCAAGGCTTTCCCTGAAAAAGACGTCGACTGGATGGCAGCACATGTTGCTCCAAAACCGGTATATATCATTCAGCATTAGTGGTGCTTTTAGAGATGTGCAAGTCACCCCTGCCATGCGCACTAATGCATC